ATTTCCCTCTCTTGAGTATTGAGATTGCTCATCCTGAATAGCGGAAATGCATGTTCTGCAAGTCTGTCTCGTCTCTGCAGTGGACATCATCAGTGTTGTTCATCAAACAAAGCAAGAGAGGAGAAAAGAGGAATAGATCACTCTCTTGCTCTGCTTACCTGAGGCCGGACATCTCGTCAATGTTCGCTTCACCGGCTGCGTAAGCGGGGTTGGTCATTGCCATCTTATCACGGCGGCTATTCTCCAATCTCATCATCAACCAGGTCGAGAAGGAGAGAACGATGTAAATGGATAGGAAGCTGAAGAAAAAGCCGGTTAGTTATGTTTCTCGCCTTCAAAAGGACTTGAAAGGTTCAGTACGTACGCTAAGACAAATCCCAGTCCAGTGTGATATCGAGGACTTTCCGAACCCAAGAATGTTTGTGGAGTGATGATGTTGGCTACACAATAGAGAAAGAAGGCAGTTGAAGTGGAGATTTGCTTTCTAGTGAATCCGGCAGTGTTGGTTCCAATGACGGCCATGATGACGGTATAATTTGCACCTGAGCAGGAGATGATGATCACAGAAGCCAGTTGACGGCCCTGGTATTGTTGCTCAGCAGGCGTCACGTAGAGTAAGACAATCCCCACGAGTGCGATGATGCTTGCCGTTGCAACCAATGGTTGCTTCATGTTGCGGAAACGATGGGAAAGCGTCGGTGGGGCAGAAACAATGAGTTGGGTCACGGCCTAATTTGTTTGGGACGTAAGAAGACAGCTCGTTTGCATTGATTTGAAGCTAGTTGCAGTAATTGCATAGACTCTTACCTGGACGGCGAAATTTGGCGCTGTAAATAATTGTGCTTTTAATGCTGTATAGCCGAGCCCCTGGAGATAGACTGTTAGAATGGATAGTAAATGGACAAGGCGATAAGTGCTCACTTTGATGATGATACCGAGGAAATTCGTGGTGACATTCCCTGCCGCTTGGGAGAAAAGCATTTGTAGAACCATCATCCAGAATCTATGGTCAAGCAATGTTTCTTTCAACTGTGCCCATTTGAAATGGGCTAGAAGCTGGTTGTCAGCCGGCGAAACTCTTACTTCTAGGAGAGCGTGTCTCTTACTGTTCTTGACACCCAGTTGATCGTCTGCGACGCGCTTAATGGCAATGGCCTTTTCCCTTTCATTCAGCCATCTGGCTGTCACCGGCGAATCAGGCATGAAAAAGAACTGGTGATTCAAGTTAGAGGATCCACTGGGTATATGGAGATGGTCGTACGAGGGCAATGCCAGTCAAGCAGCTGAGCAATCCAAGGAGTAAGAAGATGAGCCGCCAATCCGTCTGGAAGGAATTAGTGAATCATCAACGCCATAAAGCTCTTCGAAATTCTAACCAAAGGGCCAGATTTAACGTGCCCAAGGCCCCAGTAAATAACCAAGAAGGGGACTGGCATGACGCCATTGGTTATCGTCCATAAGCCGAAGCGGAGAGATTGTTCTTGTTGTCTGTACCACATGGTAGTTCTGCAAAGGTGATCAGCAGGGTTTCGATTTCTCTGGGAGGAGGCTTACATGAGCATAAGACCGGGGACGAGAGCAGATTCGAAAAGCCTGACATTGGATTTTTCAGCATTGTACCCCTGACGGTCGCCTTTGGTCTCTTTTCTTACCCAAGTAGAAATCTCAGTGCAAGCATTGTCCCATAGCTCTGGGCCCCGACGCAACCTAACAAGGTGCATCCCCAGACGAAATAGGCCCATCCAATGAATTTTCCTGCGTGGAAGTATTGGAGGCCACGCCCAGATATAAATGAACCTCCGAGGTAGCCGAAGTAGAAGATCTGGTTCAACGGGTCAAACATGAACGCTTTGCGGTGTGTGCAGCATCTCTTACAGAAACACACCAGGAGTATTGCTGGCCAACAAGTCCCAGATCATCACGGAGACCATAGGTTGCTGCAGCGCCGAGCCCAGACTATGAAGTAGGTTAAGTGTCCGCGTTTTTTCTTTTATAGGATGGGAAGTCGGGAATTTGGTAAGGCACACCTTGTCCACAAACTGGAGGCCGCACGCCCAGGCGGCAAGAGGAATGATATGCCAGTCAATTTTTTGCAAGACCTTTTTCTTTTCTAGAACTCTTCAGCACAATCTAGGCGGCAGTAAGAGTGCAAGATCTCACCTTCCTCAGTAAAATGAATGTCTTGGCCTTGAACGACCTGGGCACCAACATCCAGGTCTCCTTGAGCTTTCTTGTCTATCTCTGTGTTCATGGCCTCACCGCCAAGCGTCTCAACCTCTTCGGCTGGGTTGGTCTTCTCATGAGATGGATCCATGATGTTGATGTGATCGGCGGACTTTGCTCAGGCAGAAGAGAAGTATGTTATGAATGGTCGGAGCCGGGAGGTCTGGGGAATAGAAGGACCGTATATAAGTGAGAATTATGCCCCCGGTATCCCGGATAATGTAAACAAGTATACTGTTCTTCGAGGTGAGTGACTCGGGGCTTTAATTTGTGTAGCGGATGGGCTGTCAGCTTGTGTGTGGGAAATGGGAATTCCTCAGAAAACAGCCTCCAGCCTCGTCCATGCCATTCCAATCTGGGTCTGGGCACCTCGGCACATGGAGAGCGCATGGCGGGGAAGAGGCACTTTAGCCAAGAAGGCAAAAGTATGATGTGGACTGACTGGAGACGCGGAGGCGTTCAAGTGGGCGAGGCCAGAAATCCGGCGCATTTTTTTGGACGACCGAAACCAAAGAATTTGGGGTATGGACTTGTGGAATATGGCGTGTAGTGCACAACGTGTCCCAACCGAGAGTCAAATCTGTACTGACCGACCATTAGAGTCGCTCATTCTGCTCAACTACATCAAATTTAGGTGGAGTGGACATCCTTGGTGGCTGCTTAGAAATGGGATGAGAAGGGAAAAGACATTAACCGGGAGGAAAGTATCTCAACGAATAAAAGACCTTCTTCAGCTGGGTGTTCTCTTTTCCGCCGCCGTCGTCCCGGATCGGTTCCTCAACACAAGTGTCTCTGAGCAGACATAATCTAGACTATTGCCTCTTGGATTCGTTGAGGATGGGAGCTAAATATGGGCAACCGTTGTCAAATCCCTGTCTTGAGCAGCCGTCGATGGTAACTTTGGCTCTCGCAGATTCAACTCTTTGGCCACCGTCCGAGCTGCCCATAATCCAGTCACAAACGCAAGAGCCAAACCGCCAGCGTATCCCATATTACTGAAACCCCCTGCGTCCACGCCAGCAACAAGGAGTCCTGGGATGGGGGTCTTGTCAGGAGTCAACGCGCGGCCTTTTTCATCTATTGCAATCCCGCCATAAGAAAATGTAATCCTGCAATGGGTCAGTCGTTGCTCTTGATGCTCTACCCTTCTGGGACTCACGATGGCTGGACTTCCATTGCAAAGAAAGGCCCATGGCCTTCAACAAGAGGTCCAGGAGGTGATCCTCCATGACCAGTAGGTGCATCCAGACGAACTTCAGAATCTGATAGGGCAACTGCGCGATGATATTGATCGATCGTCCGGCGCGCCTGCGGGCCATCGACACCCCAATCTTGCAGGATCTTGACTAGTCCCTCCAGCGTTGGAGCACTTGCGACATTACATCCGTGTGAATCAGCTTTCTGGAGACGATCAACATCTCCGGCATTGGGGAAGAGGGCCGAAAGGCAATGTTTGCGCCTTGTTTTCTCACTGGAGGCAATCAGCGGCTAGAACCAACCTTTCTACCTGTCGATTGAACCACTCACTCGAATAGAAGAAAACCCCGCCGCTTTTCTTGCTTAGCAAGATACTGGTTGACAATCTCGTCGCCCATGGTTTCATCTGCGAATCGCTGGCCTGCCTCATTAATGAGCAAGCAATGTCTACTCTCTGTCGAGACATTAGCCAAAGCCAGATAGCGACAATCGATGCCGGGACTCACGATATTGCGCTAGAGGAAGGAAATCCTTGGGATCGACATCTTCTCGACGCAGGGGAGCGGCGAGTAGATGACCATAATATGTACCCATACCGCGACTGGTGCCAGCACCGACAGAGGACGCAAGATTCAGGCCATCTCCCACGGACCCTCTGTTTGAGCGTACAAATATGTTGTCCCCTCCGGGCCCGAGATGCTTCGACGTCAGATCTCGTGAACCCTGAAACCCCCCCGTGGCTAACACAACACGGCTTGCCTTAACCTCAAGATAGCTCGATATTTGTCCGTCAGAAGATGAACGTCGCAAGATTGCGCCGATAACACCAGAACCAGGAACTTCGGGCTTCTCTTGAATCAACTTCACCACTTGAGTATTGACGAATATTGCAGAGCCGGCTCCACTGTTCTTGATGCGATTCTGGTGTAGGTCGAGTAGAAAGGGAATGTTGATCGGATAACCAACTCCTGTGTGCTGATTTAGTCCAGATCAAAGCTGTTGACATCATACAACCCACCGATCGTCATGATGGGACTGAAGCGTTGCGATGTTGGTACGCCCATCTGTCGCATCCACTGGACAGCCGGTAGATAATCATTCATCCAAGCACGCTGTAGGTTTGGATCACCGTCCGGTATCCAGGATCTTAAGCTCTCATAATTCCTTGGACCCCAGCTGGCCATCAAAGTCAGAAGTGCTCGCCGGTGACAGGGAGTGATGGTCAGACGTACAACATGCCCGCACTATAAACCGAGGAGCCACCGATATGCGGCTGCTTTTCCACGACCAGGACCTTTGCTCCAGCTTCTGCAGCAAATGCTGCGCATGCCAGACCAGACATGCCGCCTCCACAGACGAGCACGTCAACCGAAAGCGACTCCATGATGTACGTTGATACGTCTTTAACGCGGAAAACCCGTCTGATAATAAGTTCAGATTTTCGTGAAAGCAGAGCCTGAACCTGAACTTCAAATTGAAGCACATGAGAAGGTTTTGATAAGGACTCCTCCTGACCAAAATCAGTGCAAGTGTTGCATGATATCGTTCAACACCAACCGGCCCTTATATTTGGACACCGGACTTTACACAGCCTCTTTCGGACTTCCCAGCCCGGATGGAGGGCCGTCATGAATGTATTTAGCTGTGGAGAGTGGATTTAGCCGGATTCTGGAATTCATTATCGCTATTTGGCGGGCTTACTGCCGTTGAAATGCATGGTTTGTATTTCTGTGATCGGAATTACCATCTCGTTGTAGTCCCGAACAGGCTAACAGGCCAAAGGTATGACAGCACAAACTCCATTCGAAATGAAGGCTGGGAGCAATCTTTCTAATGGCAGCTGCCGGATCTATCTACCCTTCTGAAAGTCGACTTATGCTGTCGACCCATTATTCTGTTTGAATGCATCAATGAGGGAGGGAGAAATGGAATGATCAAAGATTAGAAGCATCTTCGCTCGAATACTCCGCCATACAAAGATACTGCGAAGCATAAACACCATCTGACATCTGTCCCCTTCTCTCATGCTCTGCGCAGTTGTTTGCTCATAGACTGCTTGACACTCGCGTCCTTCGCAAAGCCCTGTCGTTAAAGCTTCGCCGCTGCAGGCATCGTCAGTATCCGCCACCCACTGGAAAATGCACGTTAAGTCGCAAATTATAGACATACCGATTGAGGGAGATTGGAGTCCACAACTAGCGGTAACTTCACGCCATGAAGCCATACCCCGTCTAGCCCATTCACCGGGTATACTAAGAGGAATGTAAAGTCAGTCATGGAGGTGGGTCGAAGAAGGATGCCAACTGACGATGGATCTCTTTTCCACATATCGATGTGAAACACTTCCATGGAAACCCAGCCTCGGTATCCCATGTCGAAGATAGATTTTGCCACATCCAAGGCAGGCAGTGTACCCCCATAATGAGGCTCGCACGGGAAAATTCGGCAATTTCGAGATTGTGTCATGAATGGTGGTTGATTGAGATCACGCCGGGGATAGCCTCTCTGGTCTGGATCTGCTACTGTGGCGTCGCTCAGTTGCAGGTATCCTATATCGCTTGGTTGAATGGTGCGACGCATCTCCGAGAGGCTTTCGCTCAGCCTCCTAAGGCCGTCCGGTCGAACAGGAGCGGCTGCGTTAAAGGGGTCTCCTGCTTCCTTTGCCGCAATATGGAAGGTATCCAGACATAGACGAACATTGGGAAGCCCAACCAAAGCAATGATATCACGGCTCTGCTGCCAAGTGTCGATGTGTATGCCCCAAGCAACCGCTTCATAGGCTACAATTTTGTTATATTTTTGGGCTAAAAGGCCTAGCCTTCGCATGTTCATTGCGATCCTGTTGATATCTGGTGTGAGGGACTTCTGCACAGGATAAATGCAACAACAACTCTGAATTCAATGGTCAACACAAGAATTGCGGCGAGCCGGGATTGTGTATACTTGTAAAATTGGGGCATGCAGGATTTCGCAAAGCTGGAGCCATAACTCTGCCTCCTGCAAGCGTGACTCAATGTCTTTACTCTCAAGGAGTCCGTCGTACGCTCCAAAAGGATTCAGAGAAATAATGTCCAGAGAGAAGGTAGACGCTTTGCGCTGAATATCGCCGGCGGCAGAACGTAATTGATCCTCTCGAGTTCCATTTCCCGCCAACGTGGCCGACGATGCATGAGCCTCGAGGCATTCAAAGGCCAATTCCACTCCATCAAATCCGTGAACTTTCGCGGCGGTGAGTTTGGAATGGATGTCATGTCCCGCAACAGATTTTCCAAGTGAATTCGTCGCTATTGCAATTCTTACTCTGTCAGACTCCATTGCGATTTGCTTTCTTCTGCATCTCCATTCTCAACACCTTTTCTTGAGAAACATCTCGAAAGATGGTGACGGTCGTATCCGGCGCCTAAAATTACGGACCGGACGATTTGTACAGACTGGGGCGCCCATGGGGTAAGCATGAATTCAACAGCACACCCTCCAGTGTAGGACTGGCGCTTTTAGTTCCACAAGTCGTTCTCTTTGATATCCACAAGGTGAGAGATAGAAATTTAAGCTCGTCATGTCGATTCAGCCTGAAGACAGCCCGGCTCACCCTACAACGCGATCAAACTCCAGGGTAGTTATCGTTACAGGTTTGACTCCTCGTCCCCACGTGGGAAATTAAGGGGATGAGCACACTGACTATGACGGCAATAGGTGGTGCAGATGGTTTTGGAGCTGCAATCGTTGATCGATTCAGTAAAGAAGGCTGTAGAGTAATCTTCATCGATCTCAACAAAGACAAAGGGGACCTTAAGGCCAAAGCAGATGGCAATCTTCATTTTCTTTATGGGGACGTAACCCGTCGTGAGACTTGGGAAGAGGCTCTCTCTTGTGGGAAGGACATGTTTGAAAGGGTCGACGTTGTCGTCAATAATGCTGGTAAGGAGGATGTCTGATTTCCCCAGAACACAGATACTGAAAATGGGTATTTACAGGAATTACATACGACCCTTCAGTATGTATAGTGAATGCTTAAGGATTCGATGGGCTGATAGACCTTTAGCCCGTGCACATGAAGCCCATGGAACAGTATGAGAGGATCTTCCATGTGAATGTAACGGTAGAGACTGCTCTGGTCCTTACTGGGATGGCGACATGCTGACTGTCTCGGCAGCCTATATTTTTGAGTGTTCAAGTGATATGTCCTTACATGCTTGAACAAGGAAGTGGAGTATTCATTAACATAACAAGGTATGTTCATTGAGGCCAGATTGCGACCGGGACGACCGACTCGGGCTTCTGCAGCACCGGTTGTACTCGTCCTCGACCAGGATTCGCATTTTACAATGCTTCCAAGGCTGCTGTCCATGTAAGTTGAATTGTCCAGAATACGGGAAGTCGAGTCTGAGCAAAGCTATAGATCGCGACCAAAACGATGGCGCTTGAATATGCACCGACCATACGGTTCAATTGCATTTGCCCTGCCGTGGGAAATACGTCAATGTCAGCAAACTGTGCCCTTCCGTATACCGAAGATGACTGACGCCAGTGTATCCCAGGCTTCAAGCGAGCATTGGCAATGGGGCAGAGGCGAAGGAGAAAATGCGTAAGCTAGAAGATATGTTACCCATGGGGAGGGTGACTGAACCAGTGGATATTGCTAATGCTGCGTGGTTCTTGGGATCTGACCAGAGTTCGTTCGTCACAGGAACGACTATTGAGGTGGATGGTGGAAGAGGAGTGTAAAAGGAACATAGCTGAGTATAGAACTGGCCGCCATGAAGTCAAATGAGATGATTAGATCCAAGGCCCGTCAAGATATGCAGGCATACGTATAAGCCTGCATGCATAATTGACGCATCGCCAGCGCGGACTAGTTACAGGTAAAGCCCAGGTATATCAACTTAGGGAGCAGGGGGTCCTTACGTGAGAAGGGAGCGACAGATCCGGGGTTCCCCACAAATACTCTACCACGGCCCGAGCACTGCTCTTCACGCTTCAACCTCACACGCTCTCTCTCTCTTCTCTTTTCAAGGCTCAGTGAGAGTTACGCCAGCGGCAACGACAGAGACGGCAGGGCAAAGCCACAGGCAACATTTAGTACAAGACTAGAGATGTCGAAATTCTCTCGCTTCTAAGTGCCGCGATGTCAGCCCACGATCGATTCATCTGAACTGGCTCACACCCGCTCTCGAGCTTGAACTCCCAGAGTCCATGTCCATGTTATTATCCTAGCAGGATTCAGAACGCATTGGGTATATCCCTCCAAAATGATTCCGGCGTGCGAAGCATGCCGCAACTTGAAGGTACCCATCATGATTTTCTGGCCTGGGACAATATCGGATTGAACTTTTGCAGATGCGTTGCTCAAGGTCCGCAATGCCAGACGGTTCGAACGATGGAAAGACCCCTTGCGACCGATGCAAAAACCACAACCGTCCATGTAAAATACCTCCATCTCGCCCGTCGGGCCGAAAACCAGGCTCCCTCGGACGTTATCGCGGTGTCGAAAAGGCTCTGCGTAAAATCCAGACGGAACTTCGAAAAGCGAAAACATCATCGTCTCCAGACCCACAAAACCTCCAAGGACTCATGAATCTCGCCGATGGCAAGGAAGAAATTCTCAACTTTCTCTTCACAAGAAGTAGCAGCCAGAATCAGTCCGCATGCCATGCATCTGAAGAGACAGCTCCGACCTCAAATCTACCTTCATTGAATTCCACCTTCCAGGTTGAATCCCGACCCCGAGCTTTGACTATCTCCCAATCTTCAAACGACCATGTTTCTCCCCATCAGAGCGATGAACCTATCAGTAACCCCCTAGGTCTGGTCGCCGATGCCTGCGGAGAAGCTGGAGTCCTAGATCAGCGATCAAACGCCGCTTGGTCGTCCCCAGTTTCAAATCCCGACTCTATCAATCTCCTTGCGACATCTTCTGCGGACATTGATTCTCACGGCCTTGCCCGCCATCTCTTAAGACGGCCAGGATATGTCTCGCTTGGTCTCAAGCTGGACCGACAGTGCTTGGAGCATGGACTGGATGCTCTTCTTACCCAAGATAGACAAATATGTCGATATTTGGACTATTTCAAACAATCAGACGTGAATCAAGACCGAGATACAGGACCTGATGTAGATCCCGTTGATCTTGGCCTTGTTTCTATGGAGGAAGCTCACTACCTATTTCCCATGTGAGTGAAATTGATTCTTTCCGGCCACTGGCGATATCCTTTTCGGCTGATATGGTCTCAAGTTTCTTTGCACGACTCCATCCCATTAATGGGATCCTTGATCCTATGTTACATACGCCAGAATTTGTACGATCAAGATCCGCGCTACTGTTCACGTGGATCCTGGCCATTTCAGCACAATTCGACCATGCCTCGGGTTCGATTTCTAAGAGGCTGCGTATCCATGGGGAGCATCTTTCAAAGTATGTTCACGCCAACGGATACAAATCAGTCGAAATCGCTCAAGGCTACTATATTTCATTACTCTCTGCTGTTCCTGCGAATACGATGGCCGAAGAACGGTCGTGGCTCTACACCATTTATGCGTTTGGCGTGGCCGCAGAGCTGGGTCTGGATCGCCGGTCTCGAGCCGTTGGCTATTTCAACGGTATCGTTGGAACAAACAGGCCCGGTCCCGCTTCATCACAACGTCAGGTGGACGGGAGAACATCGAGTGGTGCCAGAGGCAATCAGTCAGAATTGTTGTTAGGACACCGCACCGAAGATTCCGGCTATGCCGAAAGACTGGCCCGAAATCGAGAACGAACATGGTTAAGGATTCTCCTCTGGGAACGAGCGCATAGCGCTGCTCGTGGCCGAGTGAGTGCATTTCCAGAGACTGACTTGACCCTCAACATTGAAACATGGTATCTACACCCCCTTGCCGACCCTAATGACAAGTACACGTGTGCCTTCATTCTTCTACGGCGACATCTAGCGGCACTGCACAACGAATTGAAGAGGCAAGCAGGGTTTCAGCATACATCGCGTCACTGGGTACGGGAACTTCTTGATTCGACTTTGCAGCCTTGGTGCAACGCCTGGCTAGAATCTCCCGACGTACCGTCGACTCCCGCCGGGCGCACATCCAACACTTTCCTTCGCTATGTCTACATGCACGGAAGGTTGTGGACCCTGTCGTTCGCATTACACGGCCACAATAATAATACAGCTCAAGACGTCGCTGCTATCAAAGAAGACTGCTTCGAAGCAGCGGTGAATTGTTGCGAGATCGCGGTCCACGATCTTCAGGAAATAGGCGAGCCGATATATTGCATGCTGGCCCCGACTTGGGCAATGATATCTTATGCAGCTGTTCTCGCGCTCAGATTGTTCCCCCTCCTGTACGGCGATTCAGGCTGGGGTGAGGTCGAACTGTTGGCCTTGCTTTCCCAGGTTGCCTTGCAGCTCGAGCGGGCGGGAACAACACCATCCCACCGCTTTGGAATCGCCGCTCTACTTGGACAGCATCTGTTCATGATCTTACGAGCTCGAGCCAACGCGTTGAAGTGTGTGACGGAAGCAAGCCAAGTTCGGCGAAGCTTGCCTCTGGACAGCACAAACTTCGAAGCCAGGCAGGGAGCACAAGGACATACCGACAATCAGCCTGAACCACAATCATTCGATCCTTTCCTTTCCACTTTTGATCCGTTTCTAACTGCGCCTTTTTTCCCAAGGGAGGAGGATGGTGCGGCCGAGGGCTTCACGGAAGCTCTTTGGGATTGGTTCGGTCAGGGAATTGGTGGTGTAACTTGACAATCTCTTCCCATCAAAATGAAATCAACGAGTCTCCACTTCTCTGCAGAGACAAAATCCATTTCCTAACAGGCTCTACTTTTATTTCGACTGTTTCTGCGCAATGTGATGGCTATCGACTTCTCAAAACACTACAATTTACTCAACCTAATTTCCCCTTTAATCGCCTTATTCACAAAGTCGGGGTCCTCTCTCAACGTCCTCCCCAACCCAACCATGTCCACATCACCCCTCTCCACTGCCTCTGCCATACGATGACTATCGCGCCACCCACCCGTCGTCCCCATGACAGCTCGCGATAAAACTTTCTTCATCTCCTGCGCCCACTCAATGAAATAACTCCCTCGCATCTTCTGAGACGGTCGTTCCGCAAGTTCTTTCATGATATTGCCACGCCAGGCTGGCGAGGCGTATGTGCCTCCTGAGATGTCGAAGAAATCCACCCCGGCATCTTCAAGCCATTTGATCACCACGCATTGTTCGGCGAAGGATTGGCCGCCCTCAATAACTTTGAAAAGAAGCCAAGTTCAGCATCAGCATCTATTCCTTTTTTTGGATTTTAAGGAGTAAATTTCTCCTCTGTTTTGGTGACAAAAGGAATTGGCGACACGAGCATGGGAAATGGAAGTGATAGTCACTGTACTCACAGTCGTGACAATTGAATTTAACAGCGATGACAAATCGATCAAGCGGGAGTTTCGACTTGATAGCATTGACGATCTCGAGAATGAACCTTGCGCGGTTTTCGAGGCTTCCTCCGTACTAGCAGCATTGAAAAGAAGAGTCAGTATTTGTAAATGCTGGGGGGAAAGGAACCTAGTGATACCACCACCCCACACACACACCTCGTCTGTTCGTCGATTTGTCAGTGGCGAAAGAAATTGATTCAAAATATACCCATGCGCGCCATGAAGCTGGTAATAATTTAGCATTCAGGGTTATGGAGGATGAACTACTTCACCGGGTCGATAACGGGATAAGGAACACTCACAATAATCCCATCCGCACCCGCCTTCGCCAAAACCTCTGAAGCCCAAACATAACGTCCGACAAGCTCCTTGATCTCCGCCTTCGTGAGAGCAGTCGGTTTCCCGTACGTCTTGTTTAGACACGGCTCCAATTGCACATCACTCGCAGACTTGGGGTTCTTGTTCAAAAACTCCGGCACCTGACGGCCAGGGAACTGTAGTTGAGGCAAGCAGATGGCGCCGCGAGATTTGGCGGCTTTTATGGCCGGTGCAAATGCCGACACAGGGTCCCACGGGTTGCGCGGATCGAGGACCGCGTTGTTGTAGTTCTCGAGGTTGTCGCGGTCGATGGGGATATTGCCGAAGCAAATGAGGCCTGCGCCACCGTCTGCGAGTTCTAATGCCGAAACAAAAAGAACGTGTTGTCAGCTAAATATTTCAAGAATAGTCGTTTTCTCCTTTGAATTTAGACTTCATTTGTCTTCTAGACGTATATTTAAGAAGGAGGAGGAGAAGAAGAAGAAGAAGGAAAATGACAAAAATGTTAGATGTCAGCTTACCTTGGTATAATTCCGCGTATCGAGGTCTAGGAATACCTGTTTTCTCAATGTCGTTTTCATCATATGTTGAGGCGTATTCACTAAGTGGTGTGCGATATATCCGATTGGGGATGACTTTCCCAGAGAGTTTGAGGGTGATTGGCTATGTCCAATCAACGCCAGCCTTGTGCGGTTTATGACGGACGACACTTGGGTATGGGCAGATATATGCATGTCAAGGGAGAATAGGAGTTTTGAGTGATGCGAAAAGTGGAATGTTACCTGTGCTAATGCCGACAATGCCATCCTTCCACACTATCTGTGAATTACCGATCTCAAGTAGGGGGATGAAAATGTTAGGACCGGCCAGGAACCGGCCGTAACACGAAGGAAGCAATGGAAACTTGATCAAGAATATGATTCTGTCACTTTATAGTCGGCAAGGCGAAGCTTGGATGTCTATTTTACGCCCGACAACAAGTGCTATGTGCAGTCATATAAGCCAGGTTTCTGCTTGTTCATACATATCTTCAATCTACATGGAGACGAGAAGTCTCGGAATTACGGAAATACATCTGTCCTCGTAGTTGATCAGGCCCCGCACGACTTTCCAAAAGGAGGTTGCAATTGCCCGGAGCGTGGAGGATCGGAGAGGCCCCCGGTGAGATCTCCCAGCGTTTAAATTCGGGAGTCGATTGGGGGTTGATTTGAAAGACGCACGGCGCAGAAATGCGGAGATGGGGCAAGGGGAGATCCAGGATATTCATTCCCCCCAGACACAGGGAAGTAGTTGAAGATTAAGTAACCAATCCGTGCACCACAGCCTTGCCAGGGTAGTGGAGACACAACTTTAAGTTGAGCATTGTACACTCACTGTTTTCAGCTTCGAGACCATGATTCGCTGGGAGCCTGTTCAAGAAGATTTGCCAAAGAAAAAAAAAAAAAAAAAAGAAGGAAAAGCCAATTCTTCCAGGTCAGGTGTAAACTGTTAGATTCAATGACTGATACATATTATATTCAGAGTCGCGAAGTACGTTGTATCGACAACAAGGCTTCATGGACTCCTTCTGGCCTCGGTTCCCGCTCTACCCAGAGAGTCTGCTGAGCAACTGCCACTCGTACCAGGACCTCTGTACCGGGTATGGTTGTCCAGCCATTTATCTCGGCTAATTCCAACAGTCTGGTTCGTTCGGGATGGTAGCACATATCCAGCACGGCACCATTCCCCTGTCTGTTCTGTAGAAAGGCTTCGCAGATTCTCCATGCGAGTATTTCCCCAGGCTCTCTTGGTCGACCATCCGGGACGGTTCCGACAACGACACGAGGGGCCGGTAAATGATTTGTATTCTCCACCACGTCGATATGGCGTAATTTGATATCTGGAATTGTTTTTTCCATTCCTGAAATGAGATCGTCGACTTCAGATTTCAGCCTATTTACAAGGTAAATTTCTGAAGGACTGAACCACTTCCATAAGGCGTATATGGCACTGCGCGCCGCGCCTCCTGCTCCAACAACCAGTGCAGGCTGACAATTTGCAATCTGAATAATGCCAGGAGAATTGTTGAGCAGGGTTTCGCGAACCCCCATACAATCAGTGTTCGTTCCAATGTATTTTCGGGATCCTTGCCGATCGAGACGGATGAAGACGGTGTTGACGGCTCCAACAGTCCGAGCATCGTCTGTGAGATCATCCAGTAGTGGTATGAATGTGACTTTATTGGGCATGGTGACTGAAGCACCAATGCAGTCGGGCTGATGGAGCACCGCAGTGAAGCGCTGGGCACTTGTGGTCTCGCAGAGATCGTAATTCCACGATACTCCGGCGGACTTGAAAAGAGTTGAATTGATTGTCGGGGAGAGCGAGTGCGATATTTGACCCCCAAATAGAAAAATGTGAAGTGGTTGAGACCTCGAGTCTGGTGTCAAGGGGGATCTCCCATAGGTGTAGGATTGATTGAGGATGTTCATGATGGCAGACTTCTCATTGATGGAAATAAATTCAGAATGTCATGTATTCATATCCAGGGAAAAGACTGCTGAATGATCCGAGAGACCAGTCTTCTCCCTCCGAAATATGAGAAATTTTGGTCAGTCTTCAATTTGGTCGTCGTCATGCCTTTCATAGGCCATCAAACCCCTGTTTGATTTGCAGGCGAGATCTGTGGGGACCGGACCCCAGTTCAATCGACCGGAAAGGATCGTGACTAATGGAGATCCTCGTACCGGGTATTTGAGTATCGGATAAGTCTTTTTCCGGTTCATGATCCTGCGCAGCGATTTGCTTTGTCAGTATTTATAATCTGTACTGGAAAGACGGACCGGTGTTCGAAGGGTGTCGGATAAATATTCTTGTCGCGGTCACTGTTCAAATCCTCACGTCATCATTTCTCATCATGGCTGAAATGAATGGACACTCTAAGATCCCAGTTGCCCTCGTGGGAGGTGGGACTATTGCTCCATTACATGCCGAATATCTTCTCTCATCGCCAACGTGTGAATTGGTGGCGATTATCGATCCGTTTCCCCCAGGCCAGGAATTGGCCAAGAAATTGTCTGTGGCGCATTTCCAAACTGTCACAGAATTGGTGGCTGCACCCGGCAAGAAACCTGAGCTGTACACCATCTGCGTACCCTCGGGCTTGCATGTAAAACTGGCAACGGAGGTGCTGAACGTTGCTAGACCAAAAGCTATTCTGGTGGAGAAGCCCTTTTCGATAGACTCACCATCTGGCGAGCAATTAGTCGCCTTAGCAGAAGCAAAAGGGGTCAAGATTGCTGTTGGCCATCATCGACGGTTTCATCCCGCCATCGGCGCAGCAAAGAGAGTGGTCCAATCCGGGAAAATTGGCAAGCTCACCGCCATATCGGGTGTATGGACTTGCAAGAAAAATGATGGGTATTTCACGTTTGCCACTTGGAGAGGATCTCGTTTCGGAGGTGGTGGACCCGTCTGGACGAACTTTGTACACGATATTGACGTGTTGCACTATATTGTCGGTTCAAGGGTCACTCGGATGTGGGTGACAGAGACCGTCAGGAGGCGGCAACACGAAGGAGTCGAGGAGGGCGCCGCAGTGATGTTTCAATTTGCGAATGGAGTCGTGGGGACTTTCGTAATCAGTGACAACGTGCCGAGCCCTTATGGATGGGAGTCTGCCACAGGTGACAATCCGCTATTTTCGAAGGCAGAAGTGGCAGTTGATTGTTATCGCATCTTTGGGACCGAAGGTACTTTGACAGTTCCAGATGGAAATCTTTGGACATATCGACAGGAAGATGCGGACAAGAGAGGACTTGAGATTGGATGGAACATACCAATGAGGCGAGAAGTTCTCGAAGTCAAGGACGGAATTCCCTTTCAACTTCAGACGGAGCACTTGGCTCGGATAGTGGCTGGAAAAGAAGAACCTCTCTGTTCTGGTGCCGATGGTCTGGCGGCAGTCAAGGTGTGTGAGGCTGTGATCAAAGCATTGGAAAAAGCCGACGGTTATCCTGTTGATATTTACTGAGTTTGATCGTCAGAGACCATGGAGCTTCGAAATGGGCCCCTATGAGTTCTGTCCCGAACGTGTACCGCAGAAATTTAATCGGTCGTGATTTATATATATATGTATTCGATATTGTCTCCCTTAAAAGAAAAGGGGAAAAGGGGGTGGTTAAAGCGGCGGAGTCAGGCTGGGGTTCTCGCAGTGTTTAAAAGTTGCTAGCATCTAGTGCTGCACGTGAACGGAGTCAGCCAAGGCCTAGAACTTTGGGGGGGAACTTACTGTACAAGGTACTTGAACTCTTAAAGAAACTTATCGGATCATGCCTTTTGACATGTGGCCCCAAGCTGCGGCATTTCATTGATTCTTCAGCAACTTTCCTTCATCTTGATATCGATATCGCATCAAACAAACCATCGGCGACAGACACATTACACATCCCGCAAGATCCACTCATTCAGCCTCTGCTGACCACCTTTCCCTACACCTGATGTAACGGCTCGATGATTCGCATTGCCAAACATAGGCGCATCGTGCCTGGATGCCCGTCCTGAACCCTTTTCTGCGCGCGCTCTTTCAGAGTAGTGTGCTAGGGTACGCTTTGCCCTCCCACAATTATGTCCTCCTGGTTCCCACGACCGAATCCCTCCTGTATGGCCAGGACCGTGAAACCAATAAACGATATGTCGACCAGGTCGACGATGAAGATTTCCTGGGCAGTCATATCCTCCGAATCGTGTCGAATCCTCCAACGAAGGAAGGAAATGTCCGCGACAGCCGTGGGAAGGCGAAGAATTACTCGACCGTCAACGGAAGAACTGTGATTCTGAAAGAGAATGCCGTATACACGAATAAAGGGTTCAAGCAATTGTCCCAAGCCACGTTGTTGAGCGATCTTTTGTACTACTCTCCAGGAAATGATATGCAACAATGGCTGGTCTACTATATCACCAAACCTCTGACGGGTGTCTTCGAGGCCCTCCCCATCAAGGCCGCGGTCATCGGAGAGAACAAACTTCCATCATCGCCGCCTGCCGCATCCTCGGAGCCTCCGACACCGAAAAAGAAAGATGTCAAGACTTTTAGCGAGCTTCTCGACAACTTCCCCATGATTCAACGACAAATGCAACCGGGCCTGGAGAGATTATTCAACGAGTTTGGCAAGGAGTTGGGCAAGCCTCTTCCGCCGCCTCCTTCCCGCAGTCCGACCGCAAGTTCTCTCGACGGGACGACCGCGGCCTCGGAAAATGGATCAATTAAATCCAATGGGTCGGTGAAATTGCCATTCCATTCTGCGACATATTTTGAGGACGAGGAGGATCTTATGCGGAGAGCCTTGGAGACTGCCGTCACCGCCGCGATAGATTTGTTTCAAGGAGTCGATAAACAGCAGCTCTCGTATCTGGGTGCCACCACTGATTTGACCGGCCCCGACGTGGAGAAGTTGATCGAGCGATACGTCGCGGAGTCTGTCCACGACTCGTTACTATTTCCACGGCTATGCTCCTTTCACAAGACGCAAGATCAAGAGCTTGATCGACGGATCCGGCAATTGGATTGCCTCGATGTCTCTCAGGTGGGAATCGCTCTTGAGGATGGCAGGAATGGCAAGCGGGATCTGATCAATCGAATTAATCGCGGGGTCACGGTCTTTCGAAAGATGGGAGTCGCTGGAAGTCCACAGGAAATGTTGGATATCCTCCTCGAGACTCAGAAAGCCGTGTCCGAACCAGAAGGGGTATCTGATGAAGAAAAACGAGCGGTCGCGGCCATGACCATCAATGCCGACATGCTGGTGTCCTTACTCCTTCTCGTCGTCATTCGATCATCCGTCCGACATCTTCAAACGAGATTGTCGTATATGCAACGGTTCATCTACATTGAAGACGTTGAAAGTGGTGAAATTGGCTATGCTTTAAGCACGCTGGAAGCCGTCTTGACGTATTTGGCGCGAGATGCGGCTGGGTTACGAAAAGCATCGAAGCAGAATCAATTGCTTTGGAATGCCATCAAAGAGGGCAAAATCGACGAAGTCAGATCCATTTTTGAGGCGTCCGCAGTCATTGCCGACGATCTTGTCGAAGAACCCGCAGAAGTTCCCCTCTCCAGAATGACAACGGCCTCGACGCAGTCCTCAGAAAAGGGTAATCTCTCGCGAACCTCTTCGAGTGAGGGTGGCTTGTCGCACGTTTTTCCGTTCCAAGCAACGGAGAGGAAATCGTCCGTATCCAAACAAAAGAAAAAGGTTCAGATGGCGGCCCGAAGCATGTCCATCTCTTCGGCCCTCTCGTTATCATCGAGAGCCGCTACGATCGAAACTACCCTGAGTGGGATTGAAGGAGACACGTCGGTACAAAGTCTGGCACAAACTCAAGATGCCATCGGTAATTCAGTCCTTATGATGGCAGTCGAACATCAACAACCACAATCCCTACGATACCTTTTGAGCCTGTCCCAATATTATGGTCCCGAAGAAGTTTTAACAGACGCTACGAACGAAGGCGCGACGTTGTTGAGTGCTGCTGTCCAACTGGCCAACACCGAGCTGGTGGATATCATTCTCGACTATGCTGGGCAGAACACCGACGAAGAAAGGTTTCGAAACTACCTTTCCATCAGAGATTCCCGAGGACGCAGCGTGGCGCATTATCTTTTCAATACACCGCACTTGATAAAGAGACTTGCCAACATGCTGCCATGGCGACAAAAGGACAAAATTGGACACACGCCGCTGTTTGCCATTTGTCGAACCTATGATCATCCGGATTATAGCTGTATGGTTTCGGAAGCTCTGATGGCTGCAAAGAGTGCTCAACCAGACGACAATCCGCTTCGGATTGAGGATCATATGGATAATAAAGGGAATACCTTGCTTCACATTGTCAACGATGCCACCATCATGCAAAGAATCCTGCAATATTGTGAGGTGGACTTGAATGCCATGAACGACAAGAAATTTACCCCACTGATGCTTGCCAGCAAATATGGTCGGGTTGATATGGTTCGAATTTTTCTGGGCGATCCCAGGATCGACCTGCATCTACGAGAGGCGAGAGGGTTGACTGCCGTGGAATTGGCCAAAGACGACGAGGTTCGAAATCGAATTGACGACCTGACACTATTTTCTCCCTCCAACACGGCAGATGCGACAGGGAGGATTACCGCGATCGTTCGATCCTTTTTCGTTGAGGACGGATCCACGAGATTCATCCTCAAGTCCGGTGCGCCGAATCCGGCCGTCTCGAGTACAACTTATACGATCACCACCAGTCGAAGAGGCCTCCAAGACTTTGAGAACTTGGCCAAGTGGCTTTCAATGGATTTCCCTGCTTCGTACATGCCGACGATTCTGGCGACGGATTTCCGCAGTCCGTTCCAGCTACATTCGAGACCCTCTCGATCGGTCCTGCATGATACACAAACACATCTTGATCGATTCTTGAAGATCCTGATGAAACATCCCACCTTTTCAACGCATGAAATGTTGTGGGAGTTTTTCTTGGTTCCAGACATGCTACCCGAACAAATGGCCGAACGGGCCAAACTGAAAGCAGAATTGATTCAAGAAAAGATTGCAGACGATTACGACCCATTAACTTCTAGAGCTGATATAAATGCCGTTGATTCGGTTGTGTCCCATTCACGGGACATCGTCAGAAAGGTTAATATTAGCACACACTCGGTCGTCAGACAGGGCCACGCCTATGTCCAAGCTCAAGCAGACCTGGCAGAATCTCTCAGCCTATGTGCGGTAGCATTTGCCACGATGGGATCTCCAGCGACCACATTGTCCAAGCTGCACGTGGACATTTTCCTAAAATTTGCCGCCTTGATGCATACCGAGCGGGCCTCTTCACCACTTGCGAATTACGTCTTGAGCCTCAACTCCTTTCATTCGACCATTGCTGCCGTTCAATCCGCCCTCCTTAAGCCGAGCACATTGATCAGTCAAATCGTGTCCACACAAAGGAACTTGGAAAAGAACAAGTCGAGCCTGATCAATAACTCGGGACCTCGCAAAGGGATCATGAACATCAATTTCCCCGGCACGGAAGAAAGTCGACTCAAGTCCATCAAAGATACGGAGAAGAAAATCTTGCAGGCCGGGATTGACATTGATCGACTCGGCAAGGAGTTGAGGTATACGCAAGAAATCGTGGTGGGGGAATTAGCAGGTTGGACGACGTGGCGAGAAGAATGGGGTAAAGAGGAAATCAAACGAATGGCGAGGAACACGGTGGTCAAGGAGAAGGAACGATTGAGGTGTATGCAGCGGGCTTTAAGGCTGCTGAAGGAAGGCTAGGCTGATCTGATCCCGTGGTTTGAGATCCGATTGAGAAGACTCGGTCTGGGTCACAGGCCGTCTTCCTGTCAGGGGGCAGTGGCCCGTGCATGCAGGCGCCTTTGGCTCATACGGGAACGAATACGTGTATAATCAACGGTCGAAATCATCGTCGACATCCATGAAGTCGATTCAGCAACAATGACAAATGATACCCCTGGGAAGTGGGCAGCAGGATATCTATTATTCGGGCAGGGTAGCTCGTCAGCTAGTATGGTATAGAACAATTCTCTGGGATAAATGGACTTTGAACTCTGAAGTTCATTCATTTTCTAATAATTTTCATTGATTCAGGTTCACCATTCCCAGCTTCTGGATCTGCTACGGCGCCGCGTGTTTCGGTCTATGCCAATGCTATCGTGATTTGACATCTTCCATGCATGTGTGCAGAGCGTTGTCTCCATCTTAATCACTATCATGGTCTATCCATGAGTGACTTTCTTCACAATCCCGTCTTGATCGACGTGAATGTTCAACCTGGAAGTAGAAATTTATTATTAATCAGCCATGACAATGCCGGTCATTCAATCATTCGACAAGCCAACATCAGCATGTCAATCAGCATATCAATGCATGAATCTCTCTCCCTTCTCGCCATCCTCTCTCAACAGAGCTTCACGCCTTTTCTGCGTCGTTGGAAAGGAATGGTGCTTAGCTTACCGATCCGGATTATGATCCATCGTCATCATGCCCCCTTCCCCAACGACTCGGTGATTCTTGGGGAGATCCTTTTTCGCGAAACTTGTTTCGCCGTGTGTCTCGGTTAGTTTCTTGCCCATAAGTTTGGACATCCATGATTCTGTGGACGAAGAATCCTTGCTGTTTATGCCGGGGACGACGAGAGGCATGGTGATTGGTGACAGTGATATTGGTAATGGTTGCTGAATACGATGGGCTCTTTTTTTATTGAGTATGAAGAGAGTAGAAGCTCTGGGCTGAGTGGATTTGGTTGTGGACTTTTTGATGGGATGAAGAGAGAAAGATGAAAGGGGGGGGGGAAAGAGAGAGAGAGAAGAGAAAAATTGAAAAGAATAAGGAAATTATATGAACCGGAAGTGTTGAATTTCTGATGCCTGAATCCTGATTCTCTGATGTGGACTGAGAAGAAAGTGACGTACCTGGTGATATGGTACAAAATGCCGTCATAAAACTTGACTCGCTTATCATCACCCGGGGAATGATTACTACACATCGACTTGTGGATACTGCTCATGGTGTTGGGTTCGAGAGAAGAATTATTTTTATCTATATTTGCAAGTTCCCCTTTTTGGGGGTTGTCTCGTAGCAAAGGCTGGACATGTTAGCAGCCACCCAGTTTTCCCCCTGCCGTCGCCTCATTGTTCCATGCTGCTCTCTTAGCAAAGATGATCATGTTCTGGATAAAATAGTAGGAATACATCCCCATGACAAAACCGAATTTTCTCCATGTCGACATCACCATCTTCTTGGAAACATTTGTGAAAAAGTACACAAAATTTTGGGATCGAGCAGAGTTAGATGATCCCGGTCGAGGTAACAAAGACGCTTGATTTTTGGGCCTTTTCCCCCCCGGCCCGCTAAAATGTCGGGATAACGTTTCCTTATGTCTTCCACCGGACCCCTCCACCGTGACAGACGTGCGGTTGGGTCAGATATAGTCTCTCGCGGCCTTTTGCAGCTCGATCATTCTCCATCCTCTGGTTTCGGGGTTGCTGACTTCTTCAGGTAGTCTCGTCACTCCGATGGCGTACGTGACTTGTTGGACTTTATCTTCCATCCCTGCAGCCAATTCGTTTGTCTTCTTGTTTCGATAAACATGAACTTCCTGCGTCCGGCATGTGATGATAAAGACTGGAATGTCACCGGGTTCCAGTAATCTGGCGTTCAGGATGTCCACATTCCGGATATCCAAAATCCGTCCATCCGATTTGAGTCCTGCTTTGGTATACTGTTCCATCAGAGCCGAGTAGACCTGAAATTGTGCTGCGGACAGCCAAAGCTTCAGAGTTTCAACATCTCCCTTGACATAGGCATCCAGCACTTCAGGCAGGATATATTCTCGCATATCTCGTAGGAATGGTTCCAGCTGAAATGATGGGTCCATTTCCCGGAACTTCTTAATCACCATGGCCGTTTCATTTTCAGCGAAGAAGCCCGCGACTCGATCCGAGATGGATCGTGCCGTGGATATCAAGGGATTTTCCGACTCTTCATAAGTGGTCTTCATGTTGAAGAGACCCTGCATGAACTTCGAATTTTCCTTGAACTTGTTCCACGATTCTTTCCAGGCTGAATCTTTGTGGACGGTGATGTTGGTTCCCGCACTGCACCGGCCGTTAGTTCCGTGAAATCAATCCCCATCTGCTTCACTTACTTCGGATCTGCCACCGGAGGTTCGGCTGGCTTTGGGCCGGATTTTTCCTCTTTCAACCTCTGGGCTTCTCTCCTTTTTCGTCGCTCTTCTTTCTCAATCCAGCCTCCATATCTTGAGCTGCTTCCATCGTCAACGGCTTCTGAGATATCTTTGAATGCCTGCGTCTCTCGAACAGGGCGAGTGGCTCGTTCAATTCCACGACCAGTTGCATTTACACCCTGTCGAATTCCTTGAACAACTTTGGTGTCCCATGTCCATGCCGCACCTTGTCCAATGGCACTCGCTGTACGTTTCAACACCTGAGATGTTCCTTTCGATGCAGCTTCGGAGGCTTCCCGTGCCCGTCGAACAGCCTCAGATTCGGTAAATTGATGGACCGAACCGGAAAGTTGTTTGGTTGATTCATTCCATTCTTTGGAGGCTTTGAACTCGGAACGCAGTGTTTCGGTGAAAACTTGCCACGGAGTCTTGTCCCCATGAGGTGGTGGAGGAGGACCCGCCTCTTTTTCGTTTTTGGTTTCGTTCTGACCTTTTTCACCCTCTGTTTGCTCCTTTCCTTTGCCGGACTCTTTCTTGGGTTGTTCGTCCCGTGGTGGGTCTCGGACGTCTTCCTTTGGTTGTGCTTGTTGGTATTGGGGTCGGGAGGTGTGTAGAGATCTTAGGATGATTTGATCCGACGGAGCTCGTCGAGAGGAGAAGGGTGAAGGATGTAAGGAGGATTGCAGAAGAGGAGAATGTATCTTCGATGAAAGTAATCTCCTGTAGGCTGCTGTTCTTCCATGTTGCGCCGCTCGCAAAGCGGCAATTGGAGCGGTGGCTGTCACATAATGACGGACACCGTTGACTGGTGCACAGCGCGGTAAAACCATGCTACGAAGGAGAATGATAACGGAGAGAGAAAGGACGGCAGAGCAGCGCGAGCCCCCCGAAATAAAAAAAGAAAAGCTGAATGAGCTGGTTCAGTTCATAGCGAAGCAGATCACCTGCGGAGGAAAACTGAATTGTTCCTTGGGTCCGGCTAAGTTGCCTCTTTCGGTCGCTAGTAACGAGAACCATCACTTTGCTCCCAGTGCGCTCATCCCCGGTGGACGACCCATCGACCACCATGGCGCGCTCAAATATTCTCTCATCGATATGTCGCTCATGTCGACGGTCCTATATTACACGATCACGACGCTTCACCTCTAATTCAACCAGCAAAGGCAGCCAGGAACCATCACGGTCTCTCGCCAAAGACCTCGGAATCCAAGTAGAGCCAACCATTCAAAACCAACCAGGAGCATTGGATCAAATTGCCGAAGCTCTTCGCAAACCTCAAAAGCAACCATCCAGACCTCCCCCGAGCCTGAGTTCCCTTGCTTCAGGCGACCTTCGATCCATCGCTCGAAATGCACGAGACGAAGCAGCAACGAGATACAGCACGGGAACCTCAGCAGACGAGCCATATCATTTGAACGTCTACGCCCACCGGCAAAATATGCACATCACTTTTACTGAACCGTCACGCAATCCTATCCTTTCCCTCTCGGTGGGTAATCTGGGATTGCGAAAGGCGCAGAGAAAAACCTACGACGCCTGCTTCCAATTGGCGAGCTATATGTTCCGAAAGATGGCAGAGAAGCAGTGGAGAGTAGGGGGGAGGAAGATGACACACAATGAGATGAAGACTTTGACGGATATTCGAAAACCGGGCCCCGTCGGCGGTGGAAATGGAATCGAGATCATTTTTAGAGGGTTTGGGCCCGGACGAGAGGCTTTTCAAAAGGCGTTGCTAGGACCTGAAGGGAGGATGATCAAACCGTTGATCTCAAAGGTCACGGATGGAACGAGGTTGAAGTTTGGTGGAACGAGGAGCCCGAAGGTGAGGAGGTTGGGCTGAGCCGCCTTCGGTAGTCTTACAAGTGTACATTAATTGTGGGTCGACATACACGTTTCTTCAAGCATTGAAGAGGCGCTGTCCCCTTGCTGCGATGACCTACACGGCACGAGCGTTCAACTCTCTTCCTTGCTCGCACCGTGGAAAATCTGACACGCGGATTGACCAGGGCATTTGGTCGGACAGCTAAATTTTTCTTTCCGCTATGGTTTTCTATCAACCGTCATAACCACCGGGCGAGGAAGAGAAATAATCTTCAGCACCCACAGGGCTCACTCCATTCGATGTGCTACTTTCCTCTCCCTGGTCTCCATCTTGTTCTCGCCTCTTCCTCGTAGGCAATATTTTCAATGGCCCTGAAACGCTCCGATGTGGATCCAGGTGCGTGGACTTCTTGCTAAATCCCACACTGGCAATGACTCTCCTCAACGCCTCCCCTTGGGGATCAATCCCCATCATAAACCTCGCCAACTCGGAACACAATTCAAAATCGGATTTCTGTCGAGCTAACTTCATGAGCCGGATAACATATCCCTCAAATTTGCGGGCATCGTAAGTATCGGATTCGTCGTCTTCCTCAAGGCCTTGAAGCACAATGAGATATCCTCCGGCGGTTTTCAAGTCTTCTAATGCTAGCGCTTCTTCGAACAGGCCGAGAGGGGGTGGGAGGTGTGCGAAAAGTGTTTTCCAAGAGCTAAGTTCTTTTTTGCGAATGCACTGAACGACAGTTGAGAGATATGTCGAGGGGGAAAGGACCAGTTGCAAGAAGGAAAGAACAGCAGGCAATGAGCCCGGGGATTCATCGTTACCTTTTTGTTTTTTGCTTCGGTCCACCTCATCATCGAGGACATGGTGTAAAAGAATCTCCAGGGCATGCGGAAAATAGGAAAGATGCTGGTACTGGTTCGCCAACCCAAACGCTGCGGCGGTGTCGTTCGCTTCGCATAATTGACGGCGAAGAATGTATGGAAGAAAGAGCTGCGTTCGAATGCCGGATCGCCATTGGGCGAAGTTGACGTCTCTTCGTTGAAGAAGCTCGGACTCAATTCCGAGAACGACACCCTTGGTCAGGAGGATCGATAGTGGATAGAAGTCAACGGACATGGAGAGAAGTGGTGATGTATTCAATTCCCCTGCCGCATGGTGAAATAAATCACGAACGTCGGGCCACAGTCGAAGTTCCTCACCACTAAATATCCAAAGAGAATCTCGCAGAGAATGATAATGTTGACTTCGTATGGTGAATGCTGATCCGGGTAGAGGTGTCGGCGGTGCGGATTCTTCTGGACCGGTAAAGTTGAAATATATCTGGTCGCGCATGAGGATGTAATATTCGACGTGTTGCGCCATGACCCTCATGTCATACTTGAGCTCATCCTCATTTCGGGACGATTGTAAAAGAACCAATTTGTCATCTACCAGGAAAAGGACGGATGCGTATTCCACATCTCGTGACGGATCGCCATTTCGAAGTTGAGAATCAGGCACAACCCAACTGACGGATCGGACTCGACTTGGTGCTCGGACGATACCGTGAAAGGCGATTTGGCCGACTTGCACGAGTTGTGCACCTCGATTCGGTATATTCAGAATGTAATGATAGAGGATATTCTCATAGGTGTAGACCAGTAAAGAGTCCTCACCAGAGGGGCCCACAAACACGATTGGCATAGAGAATGCTTCAGTGTGGAGGGGGAAACGACCGAGTTCGAGTTCGCGAGAATAAAGGCGCAGGTCATAGCCAACGGCGTTCTCAGTGGCAACGGCGAGAATATGATTGAACCAACACATTCCTCCGCGGACGGCAAATGAATTTTCCACGGTGATGTCAGAAAAGGTCTTCCATCGCCCGCTTTGAACACTATAATGAGCTAGACCTCGTCGGCCTGCTATGGCGACGTATCGTCCGTCTTGGGAGATGACACATGCTTTGATCGGCCATTGATTGTGGAGATAAACGGGCGGATATTGGGCGTGATGCCACAGTGATGCTTCGTTGGAGATGGAGGTTAAGTCTGGCAATTCGTGACCACGATAGACCGTCAACTCGGATGGGGTTTGAAGGAGCGCACGGACAAGATTCGCACAAGAGAAACAGCCCATAGCTGCACTGCGCGACATTTCAAGCTTCCATATTTTATCTTCCCGGGGGGGTGTCAGGAGGATCTCCGCACCACCACTAATCCAAGTTGCTCGGTGGACCGCAAGGAGCCATTTTTCATGGTTTGACTCTGCGTGGTGGAGATTCGTATGAAAGCTTGAGGCGCCTTCTTTTCCGAAGACCGACCAGGTAGACCAGCCATGTTCATAGCCAACAAAAAGACAATAGCCATCGGGTGACCAGGTGAGACATGTTATTGCGCCCCTTGATGATGGTGATGTAGATGATCTGAAGGTATGCGAAAGAGGAATATTCCCCACGTAGTCTTTGGCAGCATAACAAATCACCTCGCCAGTGGAAGTGGCAATGGCAATGAGCGAAAATCGAGCATTGATGCTTGCGAGTTTCGCTTCAACGGAAGCATCTGGTGCGTGAAAGCAATATCCATCGAATAGCCTCGTGGATGGAGTCGTAGAGGATCTTGATGACGGGATGGAGTCATCAGACGATGCGGCTCTTGTGATTTGAGGTTTAACGCGCTGCACCGCATACGCGTGTCCATCTGGGGATAGCCAGACGGAAAGATTCATCGCTCGATCATGGACCATGGTCGAGATCCCCGATTTTGGATTGATCCAGTCCATTTTCGCCAGCAATTGGGCCACCGCATGGGACCCGTCTTTCTGCAATTCCCACCTGATACACTGCACAGCAGCCGGCTTTTTGGTTGCCACGATCAGTTCTGAATCCAATGCGATGACTGAATTTATCCCGGCGTCGATTTTGATAGCTCGTCGGAATCGAAGAAGGACCTCGCCAACACCGGCAGTCTCGTCCACACCAAAACTTCGCATGACATTTTGTCTTTTCGCTTGGCTATATCCATACTGTTGTTGAAGAACACGAGCATTCTGATCGCTTTCCACGGAGTAGGTCATCAAAAAGCTTTCGGTCGTACGAATGACGATCGTACTCGAATCCGGTCTGAAAACAACACCTAGGTTGGTGCCATATGTCTCAAGTGATTTTGGTGACCGAGATAGCGAGGCGACCACGACAACAGGTCGCGTGGACCACAAATCTAGTCGGGCGGATGTGATTGTTGCAAAAAGGTGGTCATTGCGGGCTGCTTGTAAGTCGATAATTGCATCCACTTCACCGTCAAGGCCGCCATTGCTTCTGGTCGTCTCGTTGGAGTCATCGTGACGACTAATCTCTACTCCATCTATATTGTCGTCGTCCCCGATTGTCGGACTGGGTCCATGGTATGCAGACACTTGAGGCACGCTGCATGGCCAATACATAATTTGTCGAGTCAATGGCGAGGACCATTTTTATTGAGCTGCATTTTCCCTGGGTCGAAACATCTGATCCAAGTCGTCTTCATTGATCGAAGTTCATGGTGAAGGTACGCTGCTTAGAATGAAAAAAGAATGGCCGGCACTTCCGACAACCTTGAGGGTTTGGAGTTACAAGCTGGGGTTTGCGATGTCCCATTTGATGCCAAGATGGAGAAACCTTGATCCGGGGCACAGATAATCTACACGCTGCTTTACAAGGATAATCAGGGGGACACTATCGACTCGGAAGATATCAAAATATTATATTCATACATTCTTGAGCAAAAGCTGATCTCACCAAATGTCGGTCCCGTTTCCCGACCTAAGCACTTTGAAGGATTCGTTTGGTTGCGGAATGAGCCATTATGTCATTAGCTTTTCGAGCCCAAAAATGGGCGGCCCGAACGTGAAAGGCCAGAGCACTGACGGATGGTGACCGGCGTTTTGTTGTTTGTCAATGACACGGGTCATCGGAATAATGATCGCTGCTTCATCAGCCTCATGTCTCGAGCTGCGTCTCATGGACTTTTTGTTCAAAACAGGGGGGGTAATCATTCAAAAATTCGTAATTCAAACATGGCCTTCAAGTTTTCGGAGGTTGTTGCACGCTATCGTGACTCGGTCGAGTTCCGCTGTTTGGTTGATTGCCTTGAGCCCGTTGTTGCTTCACAGCTTTGTCCTTTTGTTGGGCAATCTTTTCGAATTCGGCCCATCTCTTCTCCTCATGCTCTCTCAACTTGCCCGGGAAGAAGGTGTCTCTCATGCTTGCGCCGACATGCGGGTAGAGCTCTTCAACAGCAAAGAGGGTATCCATCACCTTGTTCTTACCAATGACCTCCTTGAACGTGAGCGGAATGCCGTACGCCTTCGGGAAACGTCTCCATCCTGCGACAAAGATATTCTGGAGTATACCAATACCACCTATGGCCAGGAGATACCAGGTATTCTGCTGGATACCCGCCGCCGTGATCAGCAAGAGAATCCAGAGCGTCGCCAGGATAACGACGGATATCCTGGTGAACCAGGAGGCTGAAACGTCCACATTGGTTTGGCCGGCAGCGAGATCCTCAAGGTCGAGCCCCTTTCCTTGACCGAGGACGACAATGGCATGTTGGCTGCCGTTGCCTCTGGTTAGAATGACACTCTTCGTGGAATTCTTTCGGCAGGCCCATTTTTCCTCCGACCACTGCGGAAGGCTTCCCGTCACGAAAGAGAGAGAGATGCCCACAATGGTAATCAGGAAGATGCCCCAGTCGCCATAGATGCCGCAAGGAATCGCTGCAATGCCCAATTGAAAGAATGTGGTCACATACCCAATCCAATAAACGAGGTCGTATCCCGGATATCCTTTCTGAGCTTGTTCTGCCGTATAGATTGAAACACACAAGCCTGCTTGAGAAGGTTGTTCGACATTCTTCTCCGACCCAGGATGCTTTTTCTCCGCCTCTGCGATTTCATATTCCCAGCGCTTCTGGATCAGGTTGTTCAATTGCGTTCGTATTTCTCCGTTCGGCTTGCCATTGTCCATCCAATTTTCAAAGTCACGCACAATTCGACCAATAATCCAACTAGTGTTGTCGCGCACATGGCCAGACTCGCCGTTGATGACCTTGCAGTCGCAATCAGGAAGAGGCATAAGTTTGTTTTCGCCAATTGCAGACACGACTGCCGTGACCGCATAGGCGACCCATCCTAACAAATGAGTCCTTGTGTTTCAGTGCGAGAGGAGATGAACTTACCAAAGGAAAATGCAACTGGGGTGATGCGGGATCCAGCAAGCTGAGCAAGTGCACGAGCTACCACATCACCGCCGAGGATGAGCAGGACAGAGAATACATCGCCAGGACTCTTCCATTGTGACCAGAAGGCACTCGATGGGGCACCAGGGTCGAAGTTGCGACGAATGAGTTCGGCGAGCACAGGAGGCATGGTACCGAATATGATAATATACCATGCGCACAAAAGTTATAGGTGTTGCGTGGAGATCTCTCCGGAGCCGGTTTGGGTGATGGGGAGGCAAGGAGGCCGTTATGGGCGCGCAAAGTAACGGGTAAGCCGCCTGTGAAACTCTCCCCGTATTAATTAAAATCCAGTACTACTGACGTCGTCTGTCCCAATTAGGCATCGCGCAAGGATCTTCACATCTCGTCGTTGACCGATGCCTGCCAGGAAACTTGCATCCCACTTTGCGCAACGCATCCCTCGGTCAAGATGGTAGGTCGGGGTTTGCTTGTCTGGTTTAGAGATGCTAACGCTGCGTAGTCTCTCTCCGACTCAAAGAAACGCCTTGCTCTCTCCATAATAGACTTCCTGTCCACCTCCCTCAAAGATGGGACCCTGACTGCGGAAGATGCAGACAACATTGAGATCGCCAGCAACTGCATAGCGGAAGCATTCAAAGTGGACCCAACGGACAAAGCAGCTGTATCAGAAGCTGTCGGATCCCAGTCTTTACTCAATGTCTTTTCAGTTTATGAAAAGCTCAAAGGGAGAGGTCCCTCGGCCGAAGCCCCTCCTCCAAGGCCCTCGGAGCCAGCAGCGATCAACCCAGAGGCGGAGAAGCTCAAGAGTGCGGGAAATGCAGCCATGCAGCAGAAGGACTACAAGACTGCAATTGAAAAATACAGTGAAGCCATTACCTTTGCGCCCACCAACCCAATTTACCTGTCCAATCGTGCGGCAGCTTACTCGGCCAGTGGTGACCACGCATCGGCCGTCAAGGACGCTGAACTGGCCGTGGCGGCAGACCCGAAATACACCAAAGCATGGTCAAGACTAGGTCTGGCTCGGTTTGCCATGGGCGATGCCAAAGGAAGCGTGGAAGCATATCAGCAGGGAATTGATTTTGAGGGCAGTGGCGGAAGCGAAGCCATGAGGAAAGGACTGGAGACGGCAAAGAAAGAACTTGCTCGCATGGAAGCGGAAGAAGAAAAGATCCCTGAAGATGTCGTCGATGATGCCTCTGGTAATACCAGGGGAGCTGGTGGCATGCCTGACTTGGCCGGGTTGGCCAGCAGGTTCGGTGGTGGTCGAGGAGGTGGTGGCATGCCTGACTTTGCCAGCATAATGAACAACCCCATGTTTGCATCGATGGCCCAAAATCTCATGCGCAATCCAGAAGCGTTGAGTGGCCTCATGAACAACCCAACCATCCAAAATATGATGAATTCCCGGCGAGAAGGAGGCGGTGGCATGCCCGACTTGAGTCAAATTCAGCAAATGATGCAAGATCCCGCAATTGCCAATCTGTGAGTATATTCCTAGTCCACATCGAACCATCACTGACGTGTGCAGGGCTCAGCAGTTCATGGGTGGAGGCGCCGGCGGTGGTGCCGGTGGTGGAAGAGGTGCAGGACAGTAATATCGAGCACGGATTTCCTCTTGTTCCATAGGCGAAATGAAGAAACGACATTCGAGATACAACCCATACAGCGACTAATTCTGAGTTGAGTTTTAATTTGTGTTCGCTTGGTGAAACACTCGACGTCAATGATGACTGGTCAGCCTCGTTCACCGATCTCTCTTGCCACGTGGGGCCGACTTTGGCATGGATTAGGACCATTTTCAAGATACACTTCACAGTCTATCCCACCGGAACTGTTCATATTCCAGTCATCATTCAAACATTCATGTGCGAAGCTTTGAGATTGGGAGGGCCTCGGTTGACTTGCTGCCACACAACAGTTAATCTTGCATGAAGCTAAAGCATCGCTACGTGGCACTTGCCAGGGTGAGTGTGCTGTCAACGCAGCCAGCGCGTGACAACACAGGTGAATGACTTGCCCCTCCATCGGCAGAGTGATCAAGGGCTTCCTACAAAAAGACTTTGTGGCAACAAGAATTGGACGTGGTTCGCCTTTCGTCCCTCCCCAAATCCCCGGTGGATTTCGTATCCGTCCCTCCTTCGAGGAATGAAACGAATCCGACCAATCACGATTACTCACAATTCTGTCACTCACTCACTTTGTTGAACCGCTGTCATGGCTTCCATTGCGGGAAAAGTATATGCACTGACAGGAGCTGCCTCAGGCCTTGGATTCTCGACATGTTGCCGACTCGCGCGATTAAAGGCGAGGGCCGTTTCGATTGCCGATATCAACCCGAGTCTGTTCGATGAAGCGAAGAAGAGATTGTTGGCAATCAATCCTGACATGCGAGTCTCGACGACAAAAGTAGATGTTTCTTCCAGTCTCGATGTGAATGCTTGGATCAAAGATACCGTCAATACATTTGGTGCGCTGGATGGAGCGGTGAATTGTGCAGGAGTCATCAACCCAGCCACATCTCAACAAGCACCATTGTTTCTGAACGAGACGGACGAAAGCTGGAATCGGGTGGTGGGCATCAATCTCTCCGGAATCTTGTACAGCATGAGAGCACAAGTGAGGGCCATGATGGAATTACCCAAGACCCCACGAAGCATCGTCAACATTGCGAGTGCGGCGAGTTTATTTCACGATCCAACGATTCTCTCATACTGTGTGACCAAGGCGTCTGTCGCGAGTTTGACGACAACGGTATCGAAAGACCTGGCCTCCCTTGGTATAAGATTGAATGCTGTTTCTCCCAGTGAGTACAACATCGAGGAACACTCTTTTCCCCCTCCCTTCTGATATTTCCCTGTCCAGGTGCCACCAAGACGGGGATGGCGTTGCAATGGTACAAAGATGAAGAGGAAGCGGTGGCAGACATGGCGAAACGAGGAATCACATTGCTGGAACCAGAATGGGTGTCTGACACCATCGTATGGTTGCTCGGCGAGGAATCGGCAGGAATCTCTGGTGTGAATATCCCGATAGGCGCAAGTGCTCCGTGAACGATAGAGAATGCAAAATCGTAATGAATCAGCCCCGCCAATACAAGCCCCGAACATGAAGATCCTCGGGATGGTCCCACCTCTCCCTTTGCTAGATACAGGAGGCTGACAACGACAATGGGTATGTCTCATGTTTCAATTGCAACACTGACATCACAGTGCAGCGCCTCCAACCACGGGCTTTGAATCAAAGCGGCGAGCAAACGACCTTTCGCATGCAAAGCATCGCTGTTTACCCATGTCCCAAGATCATGCATACCACATGCGACCATGATTGGGTGAATAGAAATCAGACTTTCTCCTGCGCCAATACCGCAGCATGGACCGCCGGCAGGGCAACTTATTTTCCAGCAATCATGATTGCGATAAGAAATACCCGTCCACCCATCTCTTCTTCCAGCTTCTCTTTCCGGAGACCGCTGCGACCAAGCAGCCCAGATGGGCGGGGTTCCCTCCTAGCTCGATGGTCAATCCCGAAATGCTGATTTTTCTCGACCTTGGAAAGCTGGCACCCTGACCCAAGCTTGCATCGAGCTCTTTGGAGCTCAGCTTGGAGCATTTTAGTTGTTGGAGCTTGGGAGCTTCGGCCAGCCATGGAGGGGGAGATGGTCGAAGCATTACAAGCGCTGTGTTTCCGACCGGAAGGTGTTGTTGATATATCATTTTTGCGATCAGCCACCTTTGCTTCCAAATCTTTCCCATCCCTACCACTTTACCCTCTTTTCCGTTTTTGACCCTGGCCCCCATGTGATGATGGTCGCACCTATCATTGTCCTTCTCGGCCTTCTGCTTCTGCTGGGGCAAGGCTGGTCCTAGTAAGCCAGCATCAGTCAATCATCAGCCGGCTGAGAGGTGCTGACAGCTTTGACCAGTGACTCTGGTTACTACACGCCGGAAGCTACAACGGCTTGGTGGACACCGACACCGACGTCCTACGTGTCATATTGGACCCCGTCAACGACATACACGACTTGCTACACCCAGCAGAATGTGGTGGTGACCATCACCTCGATCCTGCCTTGTCCAGCCACCTCGACGACCGTCTACTACGAATGCTGTGATCAATGCGAGAATAATTGCTCCAATCCGCCGACGTACATTGGGACTACGACGGTCACATCATATACCACGACGACGCCGCTGCCCCAGCAAACCATCACTAGCAATGGCCTAGTCATTGTCCTGGTGGACTCGACAGCCTATTCTAGCCCAACTTTGACGCCCAGCGTAGTTTATCAATTCAGCAGCGATGCACAGGACGCGAGCTCCAACTTTTGGTCTGCTGGGATGTTTTTGGCGCTCATTGCAACGATTATGATTCTTCTCTAGCACGGTTCTGGCCCCTGGGATGCATGAAGGGAGGGTATTTGCGTTGTTGCAGCTTATGAACAATAGTTCTGGTATGGTATATGAACAGCTAATGATAATGAGACCGATTCAAGCTGATTGGTTTTCCTCAACTCAAGGCTTGATATGATAAGCTTATCGCGAGTTTCGTAAGTGAAACACGGGCGTTGTACGGTGTGAGCCTTCTCCGGATTGGTCATCGATATTAATCTTCCAACTTTATCTTTCCCATCACTAGAATTTGCTTTTTGCTCGCTAATCATTGTTTGTATTTATTTGCTGGGATACCTCATATCTATCATTCATCAACCATACTGGGGCAGTGGCGTCGGCCGCCTTACCAAGATGCCGTCGCGTTCGCGGCCTACGAGTTCAACGCCTCGCGGATTCAGCCAGCAATTCCGTTTGAATCGCCAACGCACTGAGACCGAAGCCTTGCTCGCGTCGCAACACGACGAAGAAGATCATGCCGACAGCGATGGACTGTATCCCCCTCACTGCACTTGGACAAGGAACCAAGCCGGACCACCCCGAGCGGCAGATCTCTACCGGAATGCCGACTGCAATGTCTATGAGAATATCCTCCGGTGGGTGGCGTGACTGACCAAGGCCGGGCCGAAATATTGATCGAGACTCTAGCATTCGGAGGGATATCACCAATAGCATCGGTAAATAGGACAAGAGCTTAAGAAAGAGAACCTCCTGCTCAATTGTCCCCCCCCAGACGACCCGTACTCGCTCGAGCAATTGAAAGCACCCCGAATGAACATCTCCGTTGTCCGACCTTTGGTCGACTCCCTCTACGAAAAGCAGGATCTCTCGGTCGGTATGCAACTCCCCTTCCGTCCTTGCGAATGTGATCTCGGCTGAGTCGACAGTGTATTGCCTTCTGGTCAATCGAATGCAATTCATCCGGGAACAATCATATGCGACCCACCATCAAACCGTCAATCTCACCCGAGCACTCCTTTGCGAGCTGGTGGCCGAAAAGATCCTACGTCGATACAACGAGGACAATCCCGGCCCCCGAGGTCTCCTTAAATTAGCCAACATTCTTGTCGCAGGCTTTGAGCCTTTCCAAGGGGCCCCGGAAGCAGTGCGCAAGAAAAACCCCCATGCGATGCATTGGGCCGCAGAAAGAATCGGCACCAAGGTCGAGCGGAAGCTGACCGCTCTGGAAGTTGCCATCGTGAGTGCCAGCAAAAGCTTCCTGGCCAGCAGCGCCTGTCAGAAAGTAGTCGATGCCATTTACCGAGGAAAACTGGTTTATACTCCCAGTAGCTTCATCGATATCATTCCCGATCATTGGAAGCGGAGGCCGATTTCTCTATATGACCCCCGACGAGCACCGTTGTTGAATCAATATCGGCTTATTGTGCCCCGAACGCGGAATCTCATTGAAGTTTGCCAATTCATGGTTCTTCTTGGGTTGTATATTGTCGTCATGGCAGAGCGAGAATCTCGAATGACTACCGAGTATAAGCTTGTTGAAGCAATATTTGACATTTACGGCGCTGGTTGGGTATGCAATTTCCCGAGTGTTGTGATTGGTCGGCTGACTGAAATAGGTGCTCGATCAATTTGCCTCCATTCTCGAACATGGCTGGGGTGTGTACACCCAAAATTTATGGTCATTCTTGGATGTCATGTTCTCGGGAATCTTTTTGTCATATCTCGTTTTGCGACTTCATGCTTTCCGGGTATCGGACCAAGAAGAATCCATTCATTTAGCTCGAACGGCTCTCGACATTCTCAGTTGTGGAGCACCGGTGCTCATTCCTCGATTGGCGTTTAATGTCATGTCGGAGAACATGCTGTTTCTCTCCCTGCGAGCCATGATGTCTGATTTTCTCACCCTCACGGCCTTGGCGGTGTGGTGCTTCGCTGGGTTCCTGTTGAGCCTCAAATGGCTGCATGCGGGAGCTCATCAGGTAAGTCTCTTGCTTTGGTTTCTGAATCCAGTTCTAACATTTCAGTCGATCACAATCGGCAAATGGATGATTTGGATCTGGTTCGGTCTTGATGGCACGGGTATAGACGAATCTGTCGACTTTCATTGGCTTCTCGGACCGGTCTTGATGGTGTTGTTCGCATTTCTCGGAAATACACTCTTTTTAACCATCCTCGTCTCGATGTTGACCAACACGTTCAGTGGCATTGTGAGCAACGCCGTGCAAGAGATACAGTTTCGCCGAGCTGTCCTGACGTTCGAAGGCGTCAAGTCCGACGCAATTTTTGCATACATTCCACCATTCAATATCCTGGCGCTGATCGTTATGCTTCCGTTGAAAATGATGATATCGGAGAGAATGTTTCACAAAGTCAACGTCGCAGCTGTCCGAACCCTCAACATGCCCACTCTGTTGATCATTGCACTCTACGAAAGAAGAACCTTGTGGATGTCCGATAAAAAACGATCATTCAAGGCGAAGAGAATTGACTGGAAGAATCCTAACGGTCCCAAGGCCACAAACTCGCAGTACTGGGCTATCTCAAGATTCAGCGTCCATGGTGATATCCATGCAGTTTTCGACATTGACCCACCACAATCAGTTTTAGACAAAATTGCGGAAGAAGATGATTTGGATCCTGACGACGAGGGCCTGGGAAGAGCGTCAACCCCCCATTTGAACGATCAATTTAATTATCCCCCTCCATCAAGACGTGGCAGTCAAGCCATTGATCCAAACAGAAGGGTTTCGGTGAACCCAAGGGCAATGAAGAAACGAAGGAGAGAATCAAAAGTATCTGAGAATCTGAGAGAGGAATTCAGGGATTCAAGCGAAGATCAATCCGGAGCCGATCATCCACCCGGATACAGAAAACCGAAGCGTGGCGAGAGGATGGATTCGATAATCGACCTGAATGATGATCACAATAGTCGCCTACTAGAGGCGACGGCCCGATTGCATAAGATGGAAGAAGCAATGAAGCGAATGGAGGCGATGCTGTCGCGGCTGCTTGATGACGGGGCCAGTTCGGAGAATAGCCAGGCACAGGAAGAATTGGCGGAGGAGTTGCGAACGAAGTCTATCAAGTAAATATAATTATCTGTTTTGAATAGCGTTCCTACCAAGTGATGACATTTGAGGACCAACACCCACGCCGTGGTAATGGAAAATGTGCTAATATCTCCACCTAATTAGGTGTTTCCTGTTTTTTCAAAATGAGGCTCAGGGCACCTTCACACAGCTCGTCAATGGTTGCCCTGCCGTAACCAAAGCAGCCCTAACCAGGTCCTTGGCGCTCCTTCTGCATAAAACGTCTATACCGCCCGTTCGAAACAACGTGCTTCGAACACGCATCGCCTTGACAATGAACGAAAACCGCCCTCGACCATGGAATTCATTTACGTGGAACCGCCGCTTTGGAACGCGACGACCAAGGCTCTATGCCGGAGAAGACAAGCGCATTTCCTTTGCTACTTTACAAACCGCTGATATTGTGAAGACGTTTCTGGGTGCATGGCCGAACCCTTTAGATCCACCTTGTCTAAACTTCAAGCAAATCGAACAGTTTATGACTGCTTCCCATTTTCCCGACCCAAATGTGAAGTCTCAACCGACTGGCTCTCCTCGCCTTGCACTTCTTGACGATCGTAGAGATCCGATCGGACTGAACGAGCAGGGTAAGCCAAATGGTCAGATGAGAAATTGGGACTCCGAAGAATACGCCACGAACCCACCTTCGGGTGAAGATGTTTTTCGCGAGGCCTTGGATGAGAGCGGTTTGCATGCAAAGTTCCAACAAAATGTACGTTCAGTAGCCTCTGTCATTCAGCAAGTCTTGACCACCTTGGCAAGAGAGCGGTCAATAGAGCAGAGCGGCGAGTCCTGTACGTATCTGTTGCATTCTCGATGTCGCTAACAGGTACATCCAGCTTCATTACGAATATCACTCCTCAATGCACTTTAGTGCTGGCAGTCAATGTCGCTCGTACGGCTGCGACGATCCTGACGCTATACCTTCAGAGATATCTCTCGTTCCAAGTCAACTTCAGAATGAAACTGGTGAGTCGGACGCACATTATATCGGACTTGATCGTTTATCAAACCAGGATGATAATTATTTCGTGATGGAATTCCATCTCCCATACTATGCCCTCAGGCTGGGAGATCAGATATCAGATCCGCGGAATCTGCGACGCTCATATAAGATGCTGGCACGAGAAGATCGAGAAAGTGAACAAATGTTCTACTACGAAGCCCAGATCTCCTGCCTGATAATTGGAGTCGATGACTTTTATTGGACAGCTTATTGTTGCGTGGACACCTTCTTTGGTAGCGAGACAACCCCTGAACGGTATCTGACGCAGAACATCGACGCTCCCCGTGGCGGCAAACTTGCATCTTCTCCAGACTGGGATCCTCGAGGATACTTCCTCCATGTGCTGTCACGTCGATTTATGCAAGTAACAGCAGAATGGGGAAACCTTGTAAATGAGCTCAATGCGCGGCTCGACACTTACGTGCGTCGACAAGGTCCCAATTTCACAGTGGATACATGAAATCTAACCGTCAAAGGAAAATGCCTACCACGATGTAATTGACACAGACAAATTCTTCGATGATGAAGCTCTCAGCCGCACAAAGTCCTACACAAGAGCAGTTTCCATTCTCAGAAAATTCCACGACTTGCTCAGCCTTACCCTGGATTCTTTCCAAGAATTTTCGCGAAACGAACTCAAATACTTTGAGACCAGCAGTGAGGTTTTGGACAGGTTTTGGACTAGTTATTTAGAAAGCGTTTTCGAATCCACTGAAACGCTCCGACATTGGCAAAGAATGCTACTGCAAAAGATCCAGACGTTTGATCGGATGAAGGATGGGGTTGGTAATCCACGCTTGCACGAGGTGGTCCCGTTGTCTAATGGGTTTGACCAGCTTGTGAATACTTCGGCCCTTCAAGAAAGTCGTCTTGCGACTAAACAAGGCATTGACATAGGAGTTCTGACAAACGTGACGGTGGTAAGGATGGCTGCAGATGCAACGGTAAGATTGTTTTGCTGAGGAGAAGTTTTCAGGCCTATCTACCCTTCAGCCTAGCAGCGGTGAGATCCCCAGACCGAGCCAGACCTGCAATGGTGCTGAGTGCAGTGTATAGGCCCTTTTCAGTATTTCGGCTGATAGTGTAAACGAGACACGTTGGCTCCTCTGGCTGCTAACCTCTCTTGTTCTCAGTACAGCAACATTCTATTTGGCGTTTCGAGCCAAGATCCAACGGCACTTTGAAACCATTTGGAAAAAGTGGCGATAGGGCTTAGAGAACCTGAGTATCAGGCAGGATATCATTCAAAGTGACTCGTTGGCTTGAGGAGAAATCCATGAGAATAGGCGCGTTGACATTTCCTCAAGAGAGAGAGCCGAAGTGGTGGCGTGTCCCGTGCTTCAGATGTGCGCAAGAGCATATATCTCCACCAAAGAAGCAGCGAGATATCAGAAACTAGGTAGATTGCATCCAACTAGAAGATGGCCGGTGAATTATTCGGATCGTTGATTTGAAATATGATGAAGCGTGAAGTCGGTAGTAATGGACAATGGTCGCGGGACTGGCATAAGAAATGGCAACAATCATCTTGGAAATTCGAGATGGCATCGACTGCAAAGCCTATGATGACATTCGGTACAGAAGTTTTGGATTTCAATCTTCATCGGTCCGTTATGGCAATTGCACTATGATCTCGCGTTATACAAGTGATAATATACAATCACGGGCCTATAGTGCACTTACACACGTCCATAAGTTGGTTTTTCCAAATGTGGCTATCGGTGTTCCATGTTTCGTTTTCCTCATGACCAAGTTCCACAAGCGCCTCGGTGAAGTGTCTGCTCTATCCTGGATCCGGTGCAGCTCACGCATTCTGCTGTCCTGACTGGAGAAAACTTTCGAGATGAGAATAATAGGGTCGACTGGACACGTGCAACGCAAACTTAGTATGAGTTAACCAAAAGACTGCGCCACGAAGAGAAGAGAAAACAAGAGAACAAACCAGCTCCAGTACCAATTAACATCATTTCGGGTTAAGCATGCTGACATCAACTGCGGATATGCCCGGAGAGCACTTCACTGTTTCTGGAGATGGTCTTGACGTTGTTCACAAATCTGACTTGAATATTTCCTGAGGCATTGTACTGTAATGAATTCCAGGTCGTGGAGCGGGGTAGGTGGATTTCTAGACCAAATATTACCCGCAAGATAGAACGCCACTAAACTGTGCTAACCATAAAAGCGGCATGATGTATTCTGGCACGTGATATTCAGATACCAAGACCAACCTGGTTGCCCTGGACAGCAGAACGCGAGTTTCGGTGTTGACACCTCCAAAGGACCCACCCCTGCACATCTCGATTGAACTTGAATTCAACCACTTGCCAAATATTCGAATGTTATCACATAGACAGGGTCTGACAATGGCTACCATCATCCCTCCCGCTCCTTTCTCAACGAGCACCTCTTCATTTGGCGCGTCTCAGTCCCAATCCGCTCCCATGTCATACTCGGATAACCCATTGACTCAATTACCCACGGTAGACTTCAACTTCGAAGACCTGCGGAAGCGCATGGCTGATTTCACCATCAAATTTGACGCTTTCATTGAACAAGAAAGAAAGAGGGTCTTGCAAGAGAGAAATGAATTTCGGGCCCGGTTGGGAGAAATTAGTGGTGAGCTACTATTGCAACCAGCTCCGGATTCAAAACACTACAAACGCTTACTGACGGCCATGGACGAACAGAGGAGCAAAAATCTACCAATACACAAATCTCCACACTGCAGTCCACTTTGTCCACGCACGACCAAGTGCTTTCCCGAGAGCAGGCGGAGAAGAACGAAATGCACGAGCAAATATCGAAACTGGAGTCGCATCAAGCAAATCAGACTGCCCAGCGCGACAGGTTGAAGAACTTGATTGCCCAGACGCAACGACAGATTGACGTGAAGTTACAGGCGCAGTGGGAGTATGCGGCGAAAATGGATAGCCAGAGTCGATTGAATGGGCCGGAGTTGAATTTCTGGGAAACATACTTGGGCTGTCGCATCGAGGGAAGCGGGGATGAAAATAAAGTCAGGATCGTGTTTGTGTTTCCCCCTGTGAAAGGCGGGAAAAGTGATGAGGAGAGAGAAGCGATGTTCGAATTGCAGGTGCCGGATACCGGGAATGGGAAATACGATGTGGTTTACATGAGGCCGAAGCTGGAGGGTGCGAAGGTCGCGGCGGTCGTGGGCCGATTAAATTTATCACGAGAGATTGGGACGTTGTTGAAGGGGATGAGAGGATTGTTTGTCGAAATAATGAAATGATGGATGCAGTTATGATACCACCAATGTATAGCATGAATGACGTCCAGGATGGTTTTATGGATCAATCACAGAAAGAATTGAAAGACCCATCATTATCACAGTAATATAGTGGCTCAGATAGGTGTCTCCATTGGCCATGAAAAGACTTAGAGCGGAGATGATATGGCTGCCTGGCCCCAGCGACAACAGAAGATGGTCCATCACCAGTTTTATTTCATGTCACCCCAGTATATACTGAAGCCACGTCGTCCATCGCCGTGAACCCGACCCACATACAAGCCGGAACCTTTCCCTCCGCCACCTGTTGGTCTCTCAACTCCCAGGTTGTGTTCAAAATCTACAAGCCCGTTAGAGGACCACGTGGTAAAATGAAGGCGTGGGGTGTCGGCCAGTCACGTGACGTTTTGCCTTGGCAACGTCACGTGAGGCTGTTTGGCTTGGCAACTTGCACCCTTCCTTCTTTTCGTCTTGCTCTCTTAGATAGAACAACAACACATTCCTTCTCTAGACTCCACAGTCTATCATGGAGGCTGGGCAATGATCTAAATGACACCGAGGCATATAGCATCGACTGATCGCGCTTTGAGAAAGCATGAAGGCAACATGCTCCTCACCGACGATTCGAAGAGTTGCCAGCTTGCCGGCTTGGCATGCTTGTCTGAATCTCAAGCAGGGCTACTAGAGCGTTAATAGCGAGAGCGGCAGTCAGACTCCCGAGATGGTGCTGTTGGGCCAAAGAAGGAATGATAAAGTGATCATCAGATCTGGTGCTTTATGGGTATTCGAAGAAGGACGGTGTGCAATTTCATCGCTTGGTAAGCTGTCTGTATGTAAGAACTGCCCTTGACGGGCCCCTATAGGGGGATGCTGTCGGCATGTTACTTGATTAAGTATACGGGAGGGTCTTACCGGGCAGATAGTTAGCATGGCCTAACCAGGTACGATAGAACAACAGCGAGAGGCGAGATAATTGTACGCAATGGGTCTACGTCAGTGTAGGGGCCACGATCTGTCAGAGTACCCACGTGACCTCAACGCCCGATTTACGGAGGAGCACACCACCAGCTATGCGCGTCTCCCGCGGAGCATGGCTACTGTTTCGCAACACTGGTTATATGTATGGCGTAGACAATTGACACCTTCGCCATTGATCGAATGGCGTGATCCTGTGCCCGTTTCAACGACAATGTCGTCAACAAACATGTCTTCGATGCCTCAGGGAGGTGCGTCTGGTTCCATAAGTGCAGCACATGCTCTCATACTTACCTCTACAGACCAAATATCAAAGAAGAAGAAAAAGTTCAAAAAGAAAGCCAACTCTGCGCAGGCCGCAACATCAGACACCCCTACAACGCCCGTCGAGCCTCAAAAGGGTGCCGATACGCCAGATGCGAAAGATGGAGCAGAAAGCGACGGCTCAGAACCTGAAGACGAGTCCACGTCACCTGTCGAGACCGAGACGGAAACACCGAAGGAGTTAAATCCATCGAAATTGTCCAACGGGGTCACCAATGCTCCCACCAACAGCAATGATGCTACAGCACGCTTCGACGCACTTGTCAAAGACCGTGAGGCCCTCCGCCTCGAAGTGACTCAACTGCGTCAATCGCTAGAGGAAATACAGTCTAAACATACGGCCGAGGTTGAAGCATTGCGAGGAGAGCTCACAGATACACAGACGGAAAAGGAAAACGCAGAGGAACAATATCAATCCCTGCTGGGGAGGGTGAATACTATTCGCTCGCAGTTAGGGGAGCGATTGAAGGCCGACGCGGTAGGTCACATTCGACCCGTAGAAAGTCCGGCACAACGTTGACACAGCAGCAATAGGAAGACCTAGCTCAAGCGAGAACGCGGATCGAAGAACTGGAAGAACAGAAATCAGAGCTACAAGAACGCTACGTTGCGCGCTCTGCCGAAGTCGAGGAGCTGAACGCCAAGAATCAAGAGCTCACTGCAAAGTCAGTGGAGCAGTCAAAAGAGCTATCCAGTCTTCGGAACCGAATGACCCTTTCGCAACAAAATTGGCTGAAGGAAAAAGAAGAACTTGTCGACCAAGAAGCATATATCCGCGAGGAATTCGAGAATGCGAAACAGGCCATGCATGATTGGGAAGTTTTGGCAATGGAAGAGAGAACCATTCGAAGAGACTTGACCGATCGAAATGCCGATCTGGAAGAACAGGTTTCAAGTTTGAAAGAAGCTTATGAAAAAGCAGCGAGCGAGCGGGATAGTCAGTCGAGCACCGTGGACGGATTGCAGAAAGCTCTACAGGAAATCCAAACCGTCAGGAAACAAGAACTGAAGGAACTGGTCGAGACAAACCACAGTGAGCAAGAAGCACTGCGAAAACAGTTGCAAGATCTTCAATCCAATCACGAGTCCACGGTATCGGAGTTGGAGCAAACAAAGAAAGAATTGGAACGGGCGCTCCCATTCGAGAAGGAGGTCAAAGAAAAGAACCTCTTGATTGGCAAGTTGCGGCACGAAGCCGTGATTCTGAATGATCATTTGACCAAAGCATTGCGATTCCTCAAGAAAGGGAAACCAGAGGATAATGTTGACAGGTGGGAACGTTACATTGCCACCCTGCGTGCATCCAAAGCTGACGCCTTGACTTAGACACATCGTGACAAACCACTTTCTTCATTTCCTAGCCCTCGATCGTTCCGACCCCAAGAAATTCCAAGTCCTCCAGCTCATTGCAGCCCTACTAGGATGGACGGACGAACAACGCGAACAAGCCGGCCTCGCTCGACCTGGCACCGGAAGTTCAACCTCGAATAATTCTCTCCGACTTCCGGGATCACCACTTGTTCACCGCACACCCAGTACCCCCGCCTTACACCACAATGAGTTCTTTGGAGCCGACAGCGCCGCAAGTCCAACCAGCAGGGAAACGTTGGCTGAGCTGTGGCAGAACTTCTTGGAGCAGGAAGCGGGAGCGAATGTGACGACGAGATCGGGTAAATCCAGGCAAGGAAGTCAAAGTACTATCCCCCCAACCCCGAAATGAACCCAACACCCTACGAAAACAAGCAAAATGACAGAAACCGCGTTTAAATTGCAATATCCCATCATAGATATGTTCTGTTGGTCGTTCTCATTTAGAAGGGCGAGAGCGTGCTACACTGTGCGAATAATGTGGTCTGAGCAATTTCCCGGCTTCCTTACGACGCAAATAATGGCAGAACCAAACAATTCATAACTTCATCATTCATCGTTTGTTAAATCGATATCCAAAGTGTTGTATGAAACTCGGTAAATCCTGCCATAAAAGTCAGTTTCCAGAATCCCAGGAACGACCCGGGGGGGTTGTTGGGGGGGTGTTTATTTCGTACGCAGTCAATCCGATCGATTCTGTTTACTTCAATCTCTTTGACCCAGTCAACGCCCCGGAATCGTTCGTCCTCGGGTTTCCACCGCATGTACAAGACCCGGATGTTTTTCGGCCTGTCGAATTCAAAATTGAAAAGCATATGGCGCCACTCGACCTTGGATGGCAAGATGGAGAAATGGTGTGCGATTTCCAGAATCGCTTCCGCGATCTTTGCGGCCGTCTCAGAGCTCCATGGTCCTTCGACCACGTTCAGCAATCGGAGAGTACGGATGGCTTTGCGTCTCGTTTCAATCTGAGCAGACGAGACGGCAACAAGGAAGACAGGCGGTATGAAGCCCAAATTCGGATAGCCTGCTTGACTCGAGTCCTCGGTGGCCTGCGGATCGTAGCTGAGGACGTCTTCCACCTCCACCACGATAAATGAGGACCGACCGCGATGGGATTCCGACGGCTCCCTCGAACAACGCGCCTGCGCTTTCAGCTGGTCGAGCAAGACATACGCTGCAACGTTGTGGACGATCAACATCCTCTTTTGATGAACCCGACCGATTGTCGGTAGGCCTTGAAACATATTCATCCATTTGTACAATTTTGCATCGAGATCATTGATGGATTCCACCAAGTCCGGACCGGGCGATGCCGACTTCAACACGAGGATCTGCTGGATACAGTCCCCCAGGTAGTCGCCGGCCTTTTCGAGCGTGTCAAAGTCCGGCAGTTGAATGGTCAGAACCCGCATATCCTGCGTGCTCAAGGACAGAGCACTCATTTGGGATTGAAGTTCTTCGACCCGACACTTCGAGGCGAACTTGATACCGTCTTTGATGGTCGGTTCGATGTAGGTTGAGATGACATCGTTGGCTGGGTCGTTGGGTCGACGTTTGGCTTTCCATTCTCCCACGATCTTGATGGCGGCCTTCATGTGATCGAATGCCGGTTGACCGCCTCCGTTGAAATTCTCCAAGGCCCAGAAGATCACGCACGACGCGAGCACGACGTCGATGGGCGGTTTGCCGGACACCAAGGTGTGGATGGCGGTGTTGTAGTGGAACATGAAGCTGTGGTTCGCACGGACCGCGCTGGGACCCTCACTGGTGAGAAATTGATGTAAGGAGGCCAGAGCAATGATCGAGTGCTTGATGGCCGGCTGATGCCATGTCGCTTGGGGGAGAAGGACGGTCCAAAAGTACGGTTGCGAGTAGACTGAGATCAGGTCAGCCGTCTTTTCGAGGAAAAATTGGAAGGCTTGCTGTTCCTCTTCGGTTCCAAATGTGGGAACGAGAGCAAGTTCGCGAGGATGAGGGTAGGAGCGGAGGTAGGTCTGAAATTGAAGGTCGTTCGCGGACGGAGGGTGGTCGGTATCCGGAGGCGGTGTTGACGTCGAAGGCGGCTCCGTCGAAGATGAAGCTGGTTCAAACAGTCTGATTTTGGGTGGTGCATATCCACTGCATCGGATGTTTGACTTTATACACCTGGCGGAGTCAATGGCTGAGTTTGGTGTTGTGTTGTTGTCCTTATCTCCTCTGTTACTCACCTTTGACATGCCGGCTTCCCTTCATCGCATTTTATCCTTCTTTTCCTAACAGACATCAGTCCGGCTCGAATGCTGATTGAAAAGATCATCAGCCCATACTTGCAAGTTAAACACCCATTGAACGTCTTGGGTGCCCATTTTTTGGTGCGAGCTTTATCAGTTGACATGTTTGGAGGTCGGGAGGGAGGAGGAGGGCCCGAAGTGGATACATTGCTGCCAGCGCTCATGCTACTCGCAGATATATCTACCAAAAATATGGAACTGGGGACGAGTTTGTTTTGGATAAGGAGGAATCAGATCCGGATCCGCATTTATAGTCTGAAACAAGGGAGAGAGATGTGCGTGAAGGAATGAGATCCCCAACAAGAATACTTGGGTAATGAAACATTTAGCGAGGTCAGAGTAAGATGGTGTGCCAGCAGGGCGAACAGAATTTTTCCCCCGGTGCTGCGGTGCAAAGCGGGAATACCAGGGGTACCAGAAGCTTGCAAAGGGTAAAAGGATCAGGGCAGGGACCATTTTCAGCCTCGTCCTGAGTCCTTTTTATTCACTATTCCCCCTTTTTCCGCTCTTACCTCAAATAGTTTATTGTTTTCGTGGCTGCCCTGGGGCCTTGGGGTCCTGATCAGATGCAAGGAGATCTCTATATCATGTGTGTATCATTACGGTAATTTGTGGAGACACACAGCGCGGAAGAGAACGAGTGAAACCCAAGCCCCCTCACGGCTCAGTCATCCATCGTCCATCGTCAGTCGGTGAAGAGGTCCAGATCCATTGTATCTTTTCTTGTACCTGAGCACTCCCCATGTGGCCGGGCCCTTGACGTGTCCTCTTGTCAAAATGGGCTGTGTATGGGGTACCTGATGGGGCGAGACGGACACAGGTCTCAGGGCCAAAAACAGAGGCCAGTTCTGGCTACCCAGAGAATTGAGACCGGAGTCGGGCCGTTGGAAATGCATACTCTAGCATCGTGGTTTGTTGGCGCGAATGGCACTTTAGAGGACATGAATAATGCTAATCCCTGTCTACTGTAATGAGGTGTGCGCAAGCAGTCAGAAGCCAACATGCTAGGTGTATGGGTGGAGACCAGATAGGGCAGGATGTCGGTAGGGCATAGGTTGGCCAATGCGAAAAATCGTGATGGGATCCACTGCGGGATAAAATCATGGATAGAGGAATCTCCGGTCGAGATCTCTCAAGCCCCTCCCCAAAGAGGACGGGAGAAGAGATATTTCAGATTTTCGGGGGCAAAGGGCACAAACCTCCCAAAGTGTCCATTGATCACGTCGAGATGACTCTATACTTTCACCGCAATGGACCTTGAGATGCGACGTTTCTTTTCAGCTGCCTGGGCCTAAAACGCGACCGATCAAGTAATGATTTACGAAGCATCCCAAATGCAAAAAGGTTATGCCTGGCAAGATTTCTGTAGACTTCGGCCGGAAATAAGTAAAAACAAACTCACGAGTCCCGAGTTCATGTCTGCAGGGCTAAGCGGGTTCAGGATTTGTCTAACTCAACTAGGATTATGCTTTGTTCCTTGGTTCCTGATGATAAGGCTGAAAGGCTGGAATGCTCTGGTTGGTGGTTCTCCTCAGTCATGTGCTTGACTTTGCAGAGCCCGCCACTCACGAGGGAATTTTTCATCCAGAACAAAAATGCCCTTCTAGCATCGATTCGCCGGCAATTTTGCCGATCGCTCGTTGATAATCTTCGACCGAACTCAGCCTCTTGCACGGACCGTTATTCACCGGGATCGGGGGCTAAAATACGTTCGCAAGCATTTCCCTTCCTCCATCGTGAAGAAAGCGGAGGCTTGATCTGGTTTACTGAACGGTGGGACCTTTGTTAGTGCTGAGCCCTGCTGTGGTCGTCGGCTGATTAGAAAAACCCCCATCAAGCCCTTGCATAGCATCAAGGCAGCCTTGGAGTTTTAGGAAATTAGAGACTGGAGTAATACCTAGGGAAAAACTACCTTTTCGATGGTGCCTGGAAGGACAAGAAAATCCCATGGCAGAGAAGGGGGCAGGTGGGCGAATTTGCTAAATGCCGGAATGAAGGGAGGCCTTATGTAAGCACGGGGCTACACCCACAATGCCAACAACTCACCGGGCGGTGGTTATTGAGACGAGGAGTTCCAATAGCCCCATTAGCTTCTAGCACGTCTAGAACTCCCTATAGCGCGCTTTTACGCAATGTACCGGTGTAGATCGCACATAGTAAAGCGTGGCGAGTTGGGCGACCAGATACAGAAGTCTCGCGGCTACGGCACTGGAGAACAGGCCGAAGACGGTGACCCATCAGGGCGAGAGGGCCTAGGGCTGATTTGCCGCATGCTAAATCTGACACCTGGCGGGCGGAGGTCGTCCCAGAAGCTGACCGTACTTTTGCGTGAGGTGTAATGCAAGATGGCTGGGGATGTTGCGGTCTGGGGTCGGGCACATGGGGACCTGATAAGAGGAGCACCTGGCCAAAAGCATCAGCGATGGGGTTGCTCTCTCACAATGTCCTAGAGGTTCTTTGCTTCGCCACTTTCTTCTTCTGTCTCTCAAAATCCCTTCCGATCCCCCTTCATCGATCCCAAGTTACCTGCTATTCCTCTCCTAACAATTTCCTTTTCGGCCACCAGCGTCTTGGCACAGCCTCACCTCCTCAGCAGCCAATCACTATGGTTTCACCTATATCCTAACTCCGTCTTCAACAGCTCCCCCTATTTTTGGCTTGTTTTCCTTATTTCCTTTGTCATTGCAGCCACTGTACAAACGATACCAGGTTTACACGACAGAATGCCAGTCAGTCTTCTCCACGGTTCAATTTCTGACACCCTTAGTAGTCACTTAAACCGGGACGTGGCTACAAGGCCTGCTCCGTCTCTGAGTAACCCATCGTCATGACTCGTTTTGTCGATCGGTTAAAGACTATACTTGTATTCGACTTCCGTCAGATGTGAAGCCATCCATGCTTAGACGGGGGATCAAGATGATGTCGGGATGACCGATGGGCTGATTCCTTTGTCCGGGAGCAGAAAGCATCAACTTTGTGGGTGGTCAGCCGCGTTGGTTGATGCCCTGGACACTTGGTACGCAGTTTGATATTGAATTCCAACAGGCGATCAACGCAACTCTCACTATTGACGTTGGCGAGAATCTAGAAGGCTGTTGAGTCCCTTTGTTCGAGTCGACGATTCGACATATCTAGATGGTCACATGGCTGTACATGACATGAGCAATGATGTTACACTGCTCCCAAGACTGGTCGAATTGGCGACATGCTGCATTCTGGCTTCGAAACTCTGAATGGAATGCCCTGCACTTACCCGAAGCCGGGAATAAAAGATGTTTCACTTCCAACATCAGACAGTGCCGCCTGGGCCGATGTTGGTAGCTGGTACCTGGAATCCGCCAGACTGTCCCAGATTGCTCAGCATGAGAAGTACTCGGACATGGTCAATTTTCGAGGTCAAGTGTGTGCTGAGGTACTAAACCAATCGCGTATTCCAGTCTGTGACCTCCAATCATCGTGCCAGTCCATCGATGGGGGGCCCGCCGAGATTCGAGATTCGTCCGAAACAATATTTGATATGCCCCTGGGCCATTGTCTAACTCCATGTAGGAATATCTTGTCAACGCCCACTGGTCCCCAGGCAAAACGACAAATGTTTATGAAACTATGTGGAAGGGACATGTCGAAAGAGATTAAACGATGCCTTCCGTTTCAGCCCCTTCATTCCTTGTGCCGATGCAACAGATGGAGTATTCCCGGAATCGCAAGAAGACTACCTGATGGCAACGAAACCATGCTTGAAACTCGCACAGAACACCTAGCACGCTTTTCCGGAGGAATCCTTGCTATGGCTTCTCGTATCTTCGATGAAGTAAGAGACTTCCACATTGGCAAACAGGCCATAAATGGTTCTGTATGGGCGTATCTCAACAGCCCCCAGGGGGTATTATGCGGGAAAGTTTCCTGTCTCCTCCCCGTCCTCGGTCCCCTTCCTCTCTCGTTACCATGCACAACTAATGACGGAGGTTCATGTGAATGGAGTGACTCACATTGGGAACAAGAAAGCCACGTACATTATTGAGCCTACACGATCTCCTTTGACCATGCCGCCCGGATCAGCACATGGAGATGTTCGACCAAGATCGCTATGAAAGAGGGTTGATGGTGCGCTAAGCTTTCGCAAGGCAACAAGATGGCATTGGAAAATTTCTGGCTCGCCGAGACATTAGAGTATTTTTACCTGCTGTTCAGTGATCCCAGCTTGATCAAGTCTGGACCAATGGTTATTAAACACTGGAGCTCATCCCTTCCGATTGACAAAGGGGATTCGAGGATTTGGATAAAATAGTCCAAAACGGAAGACCTCAACAGTGGCCACCACGATGGCGTTTGACCTCTTCAACAATTCGACGTTGCATCTCCACATCCAGTCGCGACTTTGGTGGTTTCCAGCGGACGACTCCATGTTATACGCAGAGCTACAATATCGTCCGACATCCTATCACCGGTCAGCGCGCCAAACAGGAACTGTAGACGAGCAATCGCGACTAACCTTGCTCCCACGGCAGAAAACGATGCAGCAGCCGTCGGCGAAGGAATCCCAGATCCAGGACTCGGCACCACCAGTCCAAGGGACTTTATACGCACCACTATGACAGTCAGCTTTATGTCGGACTCTAAGCGGGGAATCACAATACTCAGTCGTCTGTTGAGGTATTAGCCTTGCTCTCATTGCAAAGAGTGGAAAGTACATGCAAAGGTAGCTTGATCGCCTTGGAAATCCCATTTACTGTACAAGTCCATGCGATGCCCGAAACGGACGCCGCCGCCAACAGGCTACCGACGATAATACTCGAAACCTTCATATTGGTTGAGATTTGATCAGCTAGTCGGATGAAATGATCGGAGTCAGCGACGGACTATCTTGCTGCCAGTGCCTCGTGGCAGATTTTGTATTTATCCACGACTCCATACACCTCCCCTCATTTTCCCTGAACATCTCAATGGAGAGGTCATTGTTCAAAACAGGCCGGTCGATCAGTTACCAGAGAAAATAGTGTCTGTACCACCATATGACATAAATGAGAATATTGAACAAACACGAGAATCAGCCTTTGGAGTTTCATTTTTGGTCATATTTTCAACTTTCATCTTTATGTGACTCCTTTCTATTGTTATGCGACGCCTGTGCGTTTGAGGTACTGGATCATGTTTGTTTTCCTTTTGTCTTTCGTCTTCGAATAATTCTCCTTTTCATTCGTCCATCGCAATTCGTGATACAACACACCCTCTACCTGCTCATAGACAGACAACGAAAGACGCAACCTCGTCATCGAATCATGCACTCAACCAATCCAAAAACTCGGGTGTGAAGTAACTCACGACGATCCCAGCCCCCGCTCTGAGGATCCCCTCTGTACTTTCAAAGGCCATGGTCTTCAAATCAAAAACACCGGCTTTGGCTCCGGCATGGATCATTGCATATTCGCCACTGACTTGGTAGGCGGCGATGGGCATATCCTTTGCAATCTCCTTCGCATCTGAGATGATGTCCAAATACGACGAGGCAGGTTTCACCATGATGATGTCCGCACCCTCTTGAATGTCTCTTGCGATGGCGCGTCGTGCCAATCCACGACCTCCGGGAGGCAATTGGTAGCATTTGCGATCGCCAAATGATGGGCACGAACCTGCTGCATCACGGAATGGTCCGTACAGACAACCGGAGAATTTAGCCGCGTAGCTCATCAGGTTGACTTGGTGTGCCAGGCCGGATTCAATCAATTTCAGTTTGATGGCGCGGATGCGACCGTCATTCATGTCTGAAGGCGCCACACAGTGCGCGCCAGCGTGAGCGTAGGCCATCGCCACATCGGATATCCGCTCCACGGACATGGCGTTGTTCAGGCTTCCGTCTTCACGCAGGATCCCGCAGTGCCCATGAGATGTGTATTCGCAGAGGCAGACGTCTGCGACAACGAAAATTTGAGGAAAACAGCGACGGATTAATTGGATACCCTTGATCACAGGTCCCTCGGGATCGTCAGCGGCGGTACCTAGGGCATCTTTTGCTGTCGGGGCGAGGGGCACGCCGAACAGAATGACCGAGCGCAAACCCTTTTGGACGAGAGGGGTCAGGAAGGGAACAAGTTTGTTCAATCCCAAGCGGTTTTGGTTGGGTAAGGAAGGGATGGGAGTTACTTCGTTCGGGTTGTCGGTGATGAAGAGGGGATAAATCAGCATTGACTGCGTGCCGGTTAGCCAAAACGGTGGGCGCTGATGGATACATTGGATTATTCTCGACATGCCTTGGTTAATTGTCTCTCGGCCTGCCATGCTCTCGACAGCGGGTGACTATATCCGGCGTGTAGCTGACTTGAAATGTCACCTGCGATGCTTACGCTCGTTGCCGCAGTCGAGGCGTACGAACGAGCTTGTGAGGGGCGGGAAATCGTCGATTGGTTGTCATTACTAGCTATGGTGCTTGCGCTTGCTCGGGGATTGGGCTGAGAAGGAGAATCGCGAAAGGCGAGGTCCTGGACCAGAGAGGAGAAGGACATTGTATTGAATGGAGGAAGAGAGGTGGGAGTCGCGACCGGTGTTACTGTCAAAGCCGTTGTCGGATGGTGGTCGTCAAGGCCTTGGTCATTGACCAGTGCAGTGGAAGTCGTAAGAAATGTATGTTCTCGATGTCGAATCCGTAGAATGGATGACAGGAAACATTCGGTGTCGTCGGGAGGGGTGGCGGCGAATTCTTTTTCTTTCGATCCCCCCCCCCTTTATCGTCGGTCAAGTCGGGCCCTCTGGTCAGCAAGAAAACGAAGCCACGATTGGCCTCGGGAAATAGTTCTACTTGTGATTATCTTTCCGAGGCACGTCATTCGCCGGACCTTTCCAAAGAGCAGTTCCTCGGAAATTCTTTATGCACAGCGGATCAATCATTCTTTAGATGAGAAACGTTTGGCCAGTGAAAAATCTACTGTGTTCTCTACCCTGATCCAGGACGAAGCTCGTTCATCGATTCTACCATGGCTGCAGCTGCGCAGTATTATTCCCTAAGCGCCGTCGCGATGCACTGAGATAAACGATTTTCTAGAGTTGAATCTCATCGTTCAATAGACGAACCTCTTCGCCGGGTTTGAAAGCAGGAAGCCCAATATATGGACAGCCGTCACATCGGAACGCATCTGAACGAAGTCAATGAATGGAACTACTCCGGTCATAAGAATATACTCACCTCCTAGACTACAATTTCCGCAGCTTCCCACTTTACCTTGCACCGTGAAATCCACTTCGGCGAGATCATCTGCCTGAAGTTTCATCGTATTCAATGCTTTATCGGCACTTTCTCTCCTGGCTCGATCCTCAGCCTCCAGCTTCTGTGCCAGTCCACAAGTACAGTCTTTGCAGGCCCGACGCCTTTTAGCTTTGGGTTTGCATTCCGTCGCTGAAACTGTCAGTGAAGGGACAAGACACGGCGTTGGAGCCACTCACGAATTTGAATGGGTCTTTTCAAATCCTCCTCGTCTAGTAGAGTGTCCTCATCAATCAACTCATCATCCGAGTCATTCATTCCCTCATCAAATCCAACCCCTGCAGGCACCGCATCCACACTTTTCCTTTTCCCGTTCAGGGGCAGAGGAGCCGAATCGCAGCTCGTCTTCAATCCGCCAGCGGCCGGGGCCGCTTTCTTTCTTCCAAATTTCAATGGCACTGACTCCTGAGTACCATAGTCCGGCTTAACAAATCCCGCTCCTGGCTCGAAAGATAGACCTGCAAGAATGGCTTCGTTCCTTTCTGCACCATCAACACATCCAAACTGTCCATCTTGACTGCGTAAGTGTCCCCCACTCTTCAATGCTTTGACCAGCAAAGCCAGCATGTCTCGGTTAAGTAGATTTTGACTTTCGCGACGGGTCCCATCGGCGTCGGAAAGAATCATGATAAGATCGTAAGTGGATTGAGGAAGGGAAACGAGGCCGACAGAGAGCCTATCCAACATCTGCATCTCTGTGGCGGCTCGGTTGTGCATTTCCAACACGTTAGTTAATTTCTCTGGGTGAGATGAGAGCGATGGTGGCGAAAGAAGCAGCGTTCGTTTGGAGAATTGAGGGGCCTTCGGAGTAGGCATGACGAAATCGTCAGATGTGTCCATGAGCACAGAGGGCGACATTGTGTTTTGATACTGTATCGGAGGAAAGGGAGAAGAATCGTCTTGGTCGACGAGTAGTAATGGTGGGGAACAGAAGAATGGCAGATTTGTGCCTGGGGATTTGAAATCGGAATCTATGCTTGTAACTGGCGCTAAAAGAGAGAATGACGCTACAGCTGCAAGATTCCGTTCTCCGGGACTTTTGAGCGCTGTTTCTCCCCACGTGGAAGGACGTTGAAGTTTGGTTCCTGAATAACCGAGGACAGAGAAGAGAATTTGACAATCTGGCACGAGATTTAAGGGAATGAATAATACATCTTCGATGAGGTTGGCGCAATCCCCACCAAAAGTTTCAATATTTGTTTCTCACGTGACACATCCCGGAATACTCCGGGCTATCAGACCACCTTTCTTACGGGCGGGTAGAAAGCACAGGTGTACATTAAAGCCACTGTCCGCCTCTGTGGATACCCCTCTGCTTCCTCAAGTCTTGCGATAACTCCCCGTCAGTTGACATGCCCCTATTTTTCTCTCAGATGTCGGTCTCCCACTGTATCGCCACGCCTAAATAAATGGTATGACGAACTCCCTGAAACTGTTTCAGTGGGTTCCTGGCTGTCCACACGATCATTGATACCGACCAGAGCGGTCTTTGTTCTGCAGAATCCTCACCTGGTGGTTGATGGATCGATGGTACCTGAACACCATACCGGTTGTCCGGTGTCGGGATTGGTTACCTGGAGCTGATGCCAAGCGAGAACCCCGCGCTAAATGGCTCAAAGTGGCTTGGTCGGACTAGTTCGGCATGAGGAATCCGGGGAAGGCGCAATGACGATTGGGAGGAATCGTCAAGAAGATGCCAGAATGACAAGGGGAGGTCATGCGAGCAGCAGCGAGTAACAAAACATCAATCCACTGCCCACTGACCAACATCTGGCCTCTTCATTGCCCCCAATAAGAGCAGGCCTGGCCTGTCGATAACCACCAAACTCCAAGTCTACTAATCTACCACCACTACTAGCTGCGAACCTCAACACTTACCGTCACTTCCGCGTGCCATCCATCTCGACCTGAATACAAACTCCAAACCCAAGAATCCTAGGCTCTCTACCTCCTTCTAGGTTGTTGACCTTGCTCCTCTATTCTCACGTCAAACCCCCCCACGAATCGAGGTGAGTCCCCTCAGCCCTGACTCCCGCATCCAAGGATCATCATCCAAGTGGTCCGAGCTTCTCTCTCTTTGACCAACTACAGGGGTCGCGTGTCCCTTTGACCTCCAACTTCATTTCACTGACTCTGACTCTCACCCGTAGCAACAATCAACGCCCATCTTCATTCTCGACTCATTTCCGCACCTTTAATCAGCTCCTACCGCTTCATTGTCTTCCCTCACTCCACCAGTAAGTGGTTTCCAGGATCTCCTTCAACTCCTACTTACGATTCATACCAGTGACTCGCACCAACAAAGGAAACGACCGCCACCACGGTGCTCTCGCTGATGGTACCGCCCTTCCTGAAGAGCGTCTCCCCCGTTACTTCGCCAAACATGGTCACGTTGATGCGGATCCCAAGGGGGTTAAGAAACAAGGCGGCGGTAAGGGCAATTGGTTAGAATCTTCCCCCCCCCCCCCCCCCCCCCCCCCCCCCC